CCACCTACTGTGAGATGGGAAAGGCGCAAGCGCCCTGTCAATCTACCGAATCCTCCCCGAGCGGGTGCGACGATGGCGCATCACAAAGGCAGAGGTGTCGTGTTTGGTGGAGTGCATGATGTCGAGGAGAGTGAAGAAGGCATGGACAGCGAATTCTTCAACCTGCTTCATGCATACAACATCGATCGTAACAGATTCTTCCAGCTCGGTCTCAGGCGGCCACGCGCGCCAGGCAAGAAGGCAGTCGCAAACGCTGATCGTGCCAGGCGCGGAAGAGGCAAGGCCGACGAGGAAGAGCTGCTGCGCAATCTGGCTCTAATCGAGGGCAAAGGGAAATTTGATGGCGACAATGAGGTAACAGGCGATCCTGATCACGGCGATAGTGACGATGAAGAGACGACGAAGATTGAGAAGCCCACTATGTGGGAAATGCCTCACCCTCGCTTCAACGCACAACTTGCAGTCCAAGAGGACACCCTATACATCTTCGGCGGAACGTACGAAAAAGGCGACAGAGAATTCACTTTTGACGAAATGTGGGCCATCGACCTCGGCAAACTCGACGGTGTAAAAGAAGTCTTTAAGCGCGAGCTCGACGACTGGCAAGGAAGCGAAGATGAAGAAAGCGACGACGAGGACGACGACGAAGAAGAAGAAGGCTCCGACGATGAATCCGGTTCAGACGCCGACCCCAGCACCCCATCCACATCCATCGCCGCCGGCCCCGAAGAAGAAGAATCTCCCACGCAACCCGATCCCGACGACCTCGAAGAAAAAGACACTTCTCACACCTCCTCAAACAACAGTAGTAGTGATAATCCCCTCCTACCTATGCCCCGACCCTTCGAGACCCTCCGAGAATTCTTCTCGCGCACCTCTCACGAGTGGCAAGAAATCGAACTCGAAGCAATGAAGTACATGCGCAATGTCGAAAATCGCTCCGTCAAGGAAATTCGACAAAAAGCTTTTGTGCGCGCTGAACAGAAATGGTGGGATGTTCGTGAGGAAATTCAGATTTTGGAGGATGAGCAGGAGGCGGCGGGGATTAGTGAGGTGGTGAGTTTGGCTGAGAGAGGGGGTGAGGGGGGTGGTGCTGGGGGCGCTGGTGGGGGTGGGCATAAGAGGAGATGAGGTAGGTAGGTAGGTAGGGAGGGAGGCAGTGTCTTCGGGGATGTCGCTCGCTGGGACTGATAGAATAAGGTAGTCTACAGGTTCGTTATGAATATCTTCTGATGACGCTTCCTCTTATCCCCAGTCTGAAAAATCTCCTTCCAGTTCATACAGCCGGGTGGGTATACCAGTCAAAAGCCCACCTTGCTCTCGAGTTTCCCTAAAATCCTACCATTCAATCTCTACCAGGTACAATCAATTATCCCAAAAAGAAAAACAATTCTGATACATATATATATCCCAAATCTGATATACCCAAGAGAACCCTCGAATAGTAAACGGTAGAGATAAACAGACCTACCTCTTCTATAGACAGACATCATCGTCGTCGTAGCTGTTGTCGTCGCTATCCCACCAGTTTTGGGTAACCCTAGTCTAATCCTAGTCCAGCCAACCCTAAGCACTTCCTTGGATCTTCCTCTCCACCTATTCATTCTCTCTCCCTCTAGGAAAAGAAGGCAGATGGAAAGATAACACGAGACGTGATAATTGTTTGATTGTTTTCCATCTAACCTTCAATTTCACTACTTCTTCGTGTCCAACTCTTCCCACTGCACTCCCACCCACTCCTCTACATATCCCACTTCTCCCTCCTTCTTGCCGCCTTCCTGACAGTCTTTGCCACATACGCCGAGTAAGATGGTGCCCCAGTCCATTCCATCGAGGCTCATTTCATCCGCTTCCAATTCGGTAATTCCATGCGGTGTCAATTGCAGCTCAAACACTCTCTCCGCACCACAATTGGTACATCTCGGCATCTTGCTGCTGCTGCTATTCCCTCCCCCACTCGTTTTGACTTTGACGTCTTTGCCTTGCGGCGGTTCTAGGAGTTTGCCGATGGGGTCTTTCCTGCTATACAGCAAGGGCTGGCCGTCGTATTCGTATCGCAGGACCTGTTCGGGGTTTTGTGAAAGTCGATCTGCGAACTTTTGGAAAGTCTTGTCCATGCTGGATTCGAAAGCATCTTTCATGTCTTTTTCTCCTGCAGAATTGCTACTTCCTTCACCATTGTCCACTCGCACGTTCTGGGGTATCTCTTCTGGAGTAGCATCAATGTACTCTTTGTCCGCGTCGATGTAGTAGGCTGGATATGGTTCGGGAAATGCTGCCTTCTCGGGCCAGGACTCGGTAGGAATGGCAGATGGTGCGACTTCTGGAGATGGTGGAGAGGCAAGGCGAGCCTTTTCAGCGAAAGTCTGTGGCAAGCTCTCTGCTGTGGGCTCCGTTGGGGCCTGGGGAGGCTTTGCGGCCAGGGTCGAGGCTGCAGCGAATGGGTTAGTAGGAGTGGTGCTGCTACTCCCAGCAGTGGCGAATGGGTTCACGTTCGCAGATGTGGTCGACTTGACTCCGAACAGCGTCTCGCCAAGATTGGCGGCTGGTTGCGCTGGTGGTGCTGGCGTCTCTTCTTTCCTGGCCGCTGGCGATGCCTTCACAGCGGTGTGCCTCGTTGCTCTGAAACCTCTGACGCTACCTGCCTTGCGCCTGCAGGCTTTCCGTCTGCATGCCCATACGTACAACCTCCGCTCGTGGCCAGGAAAGCGATCGGGAAGGTCGCCGTTGAGCTGGAGTAGCAAGTTCATGAGTCCATTGCAGACTTTGCACTTGGCCAGAGCGCCATCGGGAGCAGTCTTCAGGTCGAGCCATATCTAAGTCCATCTCTGAGCATTAGAGCCTGGTCTCTCTTCTGCGCCATCATTCTACTAGCCGTACCGGATGTCCTCCGAGCTGGGAAAAGTCGTCGATGGTGGGTTCCTTGGAGGCATAGCCCAGCAAGACATTGGTCTCGATGTCATCGCCGCCGGCAGAGGAGTCGCTGTCGTAGTCGGCCATGATGGTCAGCAATACAATAAGAGGTTGATGCTTCGGCAGTGAGTGGGAGCACAAAAAAAGATGCGATGACGGAGTGTTGTTGACGCCAAGAGAAACTTGGCAACGCGACTTTCTCGCGTAGAAATAAGGTATTTACGCGCACGCGACCTGGAACTTGACCACAACTACGACATTGCCTACCTACCTGGAAGGTAGTGACATGACACCACCAACAGAGACACGACGAGAGCAAAGTGATGCCAAAACATTGGAATCAGCCATCGAATCACTGGAGGTGGTCATCAATACTTCCATCAGACGTCAATGTTGATTGAACTGGTCATCAATTCTGCAGTTCATCAGCCATCAACATCTGTATATCTGGCCCGGCATGCCCTTCGACAGAGACAGCGGACTGGTGTTTGACGAAAGAACCATACCATTACCACGATGCAGACATGGAAACAAGCACAACAAGGGCTTTGTCGCGCCCATCAGACCTGCTTCTGACGGGCCTCGTTCCCTCGTAGACATGGCCAAAAACACTCTGTTCCGGAACCTGCGCAAGCTCGATCACACTGCGCTGCAATATCTCCCACGATCGATGATAGAACAACTCTGGACGTGGATCACGGACAGTGCATGCGACTCTTTGCATGCTTGGCAAGTCTTTGCCCGCACCGGAATATTCGACAAGAAGTGTTCGAGGAGAGAGATGATTCTCTGCATGAAGCCAGAGTGCCTGATGGATATTGCCAGTAGCCCGGAAATGTCGTGGCTGACGAACCTGACATTGGGCAGTGTGGACATGGATATGAACTCTGCTCTATCGATCTCCCAGATTCCCAATATTCGCACCATTCACATACGGGCTTGCCAGTCGGGAATCTATCGAAGCCCATTCACCAACAGATTGCTGAGATCTTGGGCGGCAGACGCGACTCATCGGGGTGCGATGTCACAGCTCGAGATGATCTTCATCGAAGATCAGCCCGAAATCACGACCCAAGCCCTATGGTACCTCAGCGCCTTCCCCAAACTCCGCATGTTCACCGTTCGGAATTGCCGCATCAACGCGCAGCTTAACGAGTCGCGCAGTGAGAAGTTGATCTCCGCCCGCCAACGCTTCGCCTGGAATCTGAATAGCCCGTACGTCTCTCAGCTGTTGTGTTGCCGTGAGATGATACGAGGTATATCACCTTACGCGCCAGGTGTAGTGGCACGTACTCGATCCTGACTGACGTCCGTTGCAGTGGTATTTTAGCGCGATTTGACAACAAGCGATCCTTGTCGTGGGAGGCACTCGTGAACGGTTATACGAGCAAATGCAGAACTGAGGGAGACGATAACCGGCCCGTGATCGAGGTGGATGCCGAGGTGATATACCAGCCTATGCGACGTAAATCCCCAGACAGCGTGCTGTCGTTTGAACGGGATTGGAATTGGGAGCCTACAGCAATGGCTCAGGGAATGGAACCTGCAACGAAGAGACGCAAAATCAAGGCTTCTAGCTCCCAAGCAGCGCAGGAACTGATGTCGGGGGTAATTTGAGGCATGTGACCTCTCCTGTTCCATCCATTGCGCCTCGACTTGATCACAAGAAACGCAAATGGTACTCTCATGGTGCACGGGCACCGAATGCAAGCGTCATCACTTCAGCAGCAGAGTGAGTATGTTGAGGGCTCGGAGGTACGCCACTCATCATTCAAAATGGCTCCGACATGAAACTAACGAAAAGAAAAGACCTACATGGACGATTATGCTGTACAACATTGCCTATATGCCAAGAAAACACATGGGCATCCTCATATGCACATGCACATGCACATGCACAATGCACAATGCACAGTGCACAGGGAGTACAGTAGATAGAAAACGATGGTTGCACCGTTTTATTCTCCACAGCGCCGGCGCGCCACGGGCCAGGACGATCTCATGGATAATGCATACAGTACCTCTCACATTCTACGGCACCGAGATCTTTGTGACACAGTGCTCCCAACACTAGCACGATGCTAGCGTGCAGAACTCACCCTCTCTTTCTCTCTCTCCTTGCGACCTATACAGTACCTCCTTTTTCTGATTATGCAATCCCCCGTTTGCGTACTCGGCCATGTAACGTGGAATACGAGTCCACACCATCAAGACTCGACTCTCTGACGAACAACATGGTCGATCCATTCGGGACGTGAAAGCTCGGGCGAGATCCACATGGCACACCGACAGACATACATCATCATTGCAGCATTTGGTACACGACCTCGTATCGACGATGCAACCACGAGAGCCAGCATCTCTTCTGAAAGAAAGCTGCGGGGGCTACCGAGTCGCAATGGTGACGTTGAGGAGGGAAAGTGTCTCTACGCCCAAGTGACACGAAAATTCACTGTAGTCAGTCTCTCAACTAGGGGGCAAGTTGTATTGTGAACAGCAGCAGCAGCAGCAGAGCTTGATTGAATTAAATTACATTCGATTCAATATCCCGCTCTAAATAAACTCGACAACGCAAACTCCCCCTCTCTCTCTATGATAGGCTTGGTATCCATCATCATCATCCATCTGTCTTCTCTTCGCCCTGCTCGATCTCCTCCATGCGCCAACGCTCACTTTGTCTCAGCAACCAATTGCTCACGCGAATTGGAAAAAAGCTCTTCGAAGCCAGTGCCCATTTTTCCCCCGTTGCGCTGCGCTGCGCTACGCTATGCTTACATGCATGCAGCACCGTCGATTCCGATGACTTTGCCATTGACCCATTCGCCATCTTGAGAAGCCAGGAAACCGACGACGCGGGCGATGTCGATGGGTTGACCCACTCGAGCGACTGGTGACCAAGTTTTTGCGTACTATTTGAAAGAAAGACGTTAGCATGTTATTCCCACATACAAGAAAAAGAGAGAAAAGAGAAAAAAAAAGAAAAAAACTAACCTCATCAACCTCATCATCCGACAACTTCTCCCCCCCAGGAATATACTCCTTACAAACCGCATGATACATATCCGTCTTAATCCCCCCCGGCGCCACACAATTCACCGTAATTTTCTTATCTCCACAATCAATCGCCATACATCTCACAAACGTCTCAATCGCGCCCTTGGAGCCCGAATACACCGCATGTTTGGGTACACCTTTCGCCTGACCCGTGATGGAACCCATGAGAATTATTCTCCCACCGACGGAAAGGTGTTTGTAGGCTTCTCGGGCGACGAAAAATTGTCCGCGGGTGTTGATGCGCATGACGCGGTCGTATTCTTCTTCTGTGACATCCTTCAAATGACCAAAAGACACGACGCCGGAATTCGAACAGACGATGTCTAATTGGCCGAAATGTTCTACGGCGGAATCCATCAGACGGATGGTTTCGGAGACGTTTCCTATGTCGGCTTGGATGGCGAGGGCTTCTCCTCCGTGGGAGAGGATGGTGTCGACGATGGATTGGGCTGCGGTGGAGGAGTGGGCGTAGTTGATTATTACTTTTGCGCCGCGACGGGCGAGCTCGATGGCGATTGCTGAGCCGATTCCGCGGCCGGAGCCGGTTACGAGGGCGACTTTGCCGTCGAGGCGGGAGGTGTCTTGGCCCCAGGATTTGAGGGGTGGGGAGGGGGTGGTGGTTTCGGTGGTGGGGGTGGACATGGTTGGAGTTGGTTTTGTTGTTGTTGTTGTTGTTGTTGGAAGAGGAAGAGGAGAAGGACAAGAGAGGAGGTAGTGAGAGAGTGAAAGAGCGTTCTGTTTTGCTGTTGCTCCGAGAGGGTCGAGGGAGAGGCGATGAGGGTGAAGATGGGGTTTCACTGCTTCTTCTTCTGATGTAGTCGTAGTCGTAGTTGTAGTAGTAGTACAAGAATCACTATTATTAGATTGATCCGTCACGATAAAGTTGTTGCAAGTTGGGCTGATTGACATTCTTTTTCAAAAAAAAGTCAGAGAAAGGGGGATGAGACATGATATATGTCGGAAGGTTCTGATCAAGTTTGAGAGTTTGTTCCTTATTGTGATCTTGTTGGGTACTCTCGGTATCTTCGGTCTACCGATGTAGTCGTTCGCTCGCATATTCGGACGTTGAATCGTGGAACCCGATGAATGTCTCTACTTCTCTTCTCCTCGTCGTCTTGCAAAGTAGCGAGTAGCGAGAACGAAAACAAGCCAGTCATCGGACATTGAACAATCGATAATAATCGCCCGGGGCAATCAATTCCTTTCCCTTTTTTTTCTCTTCACTTCCGGCTCCGAGTTTCCCACCTAAACTCTTTCTCGTCAATACCTAGATTCTCGATATACACAACAATACAATAAGATACAATACAAACCAACCAAATCCGTAGAAACAACCCCACAGGAGAGAAGAGGAGAAAAAATAAAAATAAAAAGTCAGTTAATATTCGGGCATCTTCATAGAAGCCGAAAGAGCGAGCTGACGTTTTTCTTGTTTCTCAAAATAAACTTCTCCGTAAGCGTTTTCCGTTAGTTTTAGTCTTTACTTGCAGGAACCGAAAAAACCCAACCGGGTTCAACCTATTTTTTTTTCACTTCGGACTTTTTGATGGGGGAGGAGAGTGGGGTTCCCGTCGAATTTTTTTTTATTACTATTTCTTCCGTACAGCGAGAAAAAAATGTCAACGAGGAAGAGGGTGCCTACATAGTATGTTGTTCACATCTACAAGAAAGTAGCGGCGGCGAAAAGGAAGAGTTGCAACATATAGGGATATATACACTTTTGTTGCAGATCCTTACTTTTGAATATAAAAAATCGGTAGGATTAAGTTGTTTGTAGTCGTAGTCATTGTAATCGATCATCAACAATTCAATACACATCCCCTACGAAAAAGGATCTTTTCTTAAACTTCACCTAGTCGGCGACAAAAGTGACGTACATGTATCAAGTTGGAAGTGAAAAAAAAAACATCTTACCTCGTTGATATACGAGATAGTTAGTATAATCGAACATGTTCGTCTCAATTTTGGCGTTGTTAGAGGATTGAAGGTAAACTAGATTAAACAACTTTATATTAATAAGAGAGAGAGAGAGAGATCGCTAGAACAGATAGCCTGGATTTAGATAGACTAAGGATAGTTACCTACCTTACGATCAAGAGTCTCGATCGCGCATATCCAGTCCTCCAGCATTGCGTCGAACTGATTGACGAGGGTATATCCAATCGTTTCTCCGATGGCATCAGATCGAAGATTGACAAGCTTGCCCGAGGCTGAGCATGCTTGAGGAGGTCCAACTCGTCTGCATGCACATGGATTGAATGTGTGCTGCCTGACTTTTTTTTTCCTTCATTTCTTGTCACGCATAGCGGCATTGTTGTATGCATGCATGCATGCGTAATCATTTTTTTGCCTTTTTTTGTTTGATCTGAGTCGTACAAGCGTGGGCGTTCTGGATGACAGAGCAATACAAAAAAGCCCGTGTAGGGTCTTGGTTTGTTAATTGAAGCATAGCGTCACTGAAAACGCATGCATCAGTAATGTGTCTTGTCTTGTCGTTGCGGAGAGAGGGACAGAGAATGAAGGAGAGAGGGCGGGGAAGAGAGAAAACGGCAGTGTTTTTTAGAACAGAGCAAACAGTTGTCATTTCCCGTTGTTTGTTGTTATAAACATGTTTGTTGTCCGTCAACCGCGGACATTCTATTTCTCTTCTTCTTCTTCTATTCTATCTAATTCTATCTATATACCATCCGATTGAATCCCCAGTACCCGAGAAGAACAAGAAAAAGAACAAGAAAAAGATGACCATGAACAAGAACAACAAGAACAAGAACCACAACAACAAAAAACCTGCATGTATAGTATGCACCACCGTTTCCCGTTTCCCGTTTTCCGTTACCCGTTAGTTGACCCGTCGTTACCGGTCGGTACTCTTTTGATTGAGTAAGAAATGGAGAAGAAGAAAATAAATCAATCTACCTTACGGTTCTCCTCACTTTTTGTCTTCCTTTCTTCTTTATTCTTTTTATTTGTTGATTATTTGTTGATTCCTTATTTACTGATCTACTTAGGTAGGTACTTGGATAGGTACTTGGCTGGGGTTTTTTTTTTGGTTGATAGTTGAAGGATATAAAGAACTACATCGGTTGGGGAGGTAGGGGAGGTAGTAGAGGTAGGGGAGCGGAGGGTAGCGTAGGGAGAGAGGGAAGGGAGGGAGAGAGGAATGAATGAATAGTATTTTCGCTTTTCATATGTATACATGTATTTACACGTATATACATATATTTATTCATGTGTATGTATGTTGTTGTCGCTCTACGACAAGAACGACAACAATATCGTACATACATCGATTAGACATACACAAGAATCTCGACAGTTTGGCCTAATTCTCCTCGATCAAAAGACGATATTTGCGAACCATCGCGCTTCGTCACGCAAGGCACGCCCTCGCGCTTCGTCAGGTAGCGCACAATCAGCGGATGATCGGCGGTAAAGGCATCAATGGCAAACGACGGGCCTGGCACAGAGGGGAACATGCCGTTGTTGTTGTGGGGCGACGACTGTTCCTTGTGTGTCAGGCTATCCGTCCACAGGACAAGACCGGCGCGATAGATTGCTCCGGCCCACCATGGAGGCCGAGTGCCCCCCGACATGCTTCGCACAATGCGAAGCACTTGGCCGCAGTGATAGATGGCTTCCTCGACATCGTGGATGCATCGTTTGTGCGTCCAGACCAGCTGCTGGTAAGTCCCGTCAAAGTTCTCTCGTCGGGCCAGCTTTTCGATTTCGGGAAAGTTGGTCACAGCATTGAGGCTGATCAAATGGAAGATGATCAGGTTCGTCTGCATCATGGGACATAATGGATTCGCCCTCAGATATCGCTCGGCAAGGTCAAACCATCTCCCCAGCAGGGACTGCACTTCTTCGAGCCGGTGCCTGGTGGACGACGCACTGACGGCTCTCGTCTGGCCCTGAGTCCGACTCGAACGAGTCTCGGAGAAGCAGCCGAGGAGTTGACTGTATTGACACACCAGCGACTGCAGAGGATGCAGGAGCAAGCGCAGATGCAGGGGCGTCATCTCGATACCCAACGGGACCATTTCATCGTCGAGGAAGTGGCGAAACAAGTCGCGAAGCGATGACGGACGAGCTCCAGAACCAACGGAGGAGTAGCCACCGGAGAATTCATGCACCTGTTCAAAAACAGAGGACCATTCAACCGCACTCTTCGCCTGCCACAACCGATCCGCATCAGGCATAGGTGCAGCGAACTCGGAGACAGTGAACAGCGGAGCAGTGTCGTGGAAGAGGGCCATATCTTGGTCTACCATGATCCACGAATATATCAGCCGGCTTTTCGACTCGTTGCGGATCCACTCCTGCCACAACTGATCTCTTGACGAGTGCTGGTTGACGCTGGTCGACGGCACAGGTTTGTCCAGCATACCGGAATGTCGCAGCATGGCAAGATACATTCCGCGTTGACCCATGGCAATGTCCATTTGCCACTTGTCGCCGCTCCACGCAGCTTGGACGATAAACAGTAGAGCAGAATGGAGCACGATCGGGTCTCCCGACATGATGATATTCCTCTCGATCAGATCAAATAATGATATGCGGCAAGCTTCGGTCAAGCCGCCCGTCAGGAGGCGTGCTTCCGTCGAGGAGATATTCATGGCTCCCTGAGCAATCATCATGAGCACCAGGAGACTTGCGGCCCGGTCATTGTGGCAGTGTAGCAATTCATTCGCATCGAGGACACCCCGTGATGTGAGAGGGTAGTAGCGCTCGAAACTGTTCGAGTAGGATCGTAAAAAGTACTCCAGGACGCGAGCGGGCGGCAGTAAGACAAAGTTCGAGCCATAGTACGAGTTGGGACTGTGATATCCAGTTCCCGAGGACCGACGGCCGTCACCTTCTCTGTGGATCTCGAGCGCCTTGTGGAGAAAGCTTTGTGTGATGGCCAATAACTTGTCTCGAGTACTCTCATGAAGCTGCATCACCGTCAAGTGGTCGCCGCCCGCCAGATCTGTTTCATCCCATGAGGGACTCCAGCTTGCCCAACCTTCGTGATTCCGTAGCGTGTCTTCCAGTCGCTCAAGGTTTCGCTTTGCCGTTTTGGGACAAGCTGACGAAGGCAGAACGGGCGTACATTGGAACACTGACCAGGCATCCTGGGCCTGGATGATCTCGAATATCTCACCATTCGTGTCTGAAGAAGGCGTCGAAGGATTTGACGGCACCGATTGTGACGACACCATCGACACCATCGACGGCCGATGTTGTGACGGAAGTGTCGCTGTAGCACTGAGCTCTAGGTCCGCAAAAGCACCCTGAATTTTGGGTGTCTCGAGAGGCGTCAGCAGAGGGCCCATGCCGCCGTCCACGTCAGGCAGTATCGATAGCATGGCATCATTGCTGGAAAGTATGGTGGTGTCGAATCCCATCTCTGCATTCATGATCATGTGTGGTGGCACCAGCCCATCGTAGCCCATCGGCATTTGCATTTGGCTCCAATCTAACATGAACCGGGGACTAGAATCATCATCGGAGCTATCCTTGCCCATATTGTTTGCAAACTCAGCGTATCCGGACAGAGGGGTGTGCTGCATGAAGCCCGGTGTGTGCAATGGCGGCGAAAACGAGCTGGGCGGCAGGGGACCACCACTGGTGGGCTGTTCAGCATACTGCGTGGGTGGTCCATCCACACTGGGCTCCGCGTGATGTTGTTGTTCCTCCGATATCGAGTTCAAGACAGCTTTGGGGCTCACCGGCTGCGTGGATGGAGGTCCTTGTTGCGGGCTATCTGTGGGCACTGGCGCCGCGGTTTGCTGCTGAGACTCTTGCTGCTGAGCGTGATTCTCCGAGTTTGGTTGAGGCACCGCAACAGCACCTTCGACAGTCACTCCCACGCGCGCTGCATTCTTCGATACACGCCTGGTCGGCCGCAATGTACATCGTAAGTTCCGTCCTGCGCACCTCGAACAGGGAAACTTCTTATCACATTTGGTCTTCGTCTTCGCGCAGTTGCTGCATGCAATTGGTGTTCTCCCTGCCGACTTTGGTATCATCCCCGCAGCAGCAGGTATCTCATGCTGCCCGGTTTGGTCTTTGCCATGTACGGTGTAGTGTCGCTGCAGTAGGTCCCTTCCCATGGGTTAGTCTGGTAAAGGATATGGGCACACAACCGACGACTGACCTTCTGGCGAAGGACATGTGGCACGTAAAACATTTGAACGGCTTGACATTAGTGTCTGAGTGTGGTTAGTCAGGGCCCAGTATGTAGTGAGGTGGTTGTTGGCGTACGGGTCAAGATATGGCGTTCGAGATGCTCGTCCCTCGTGAAGGATTGTCCACAGTACGTGCAAAACACCATGACTGCCGTGAGTAGCAATGGTTGTCTGCTGAAGTCGTTGCAGCTTTCCCAGGATGGACGAGGCTGGTCGGAGAAATGGCAGAGTAGAGAGACCAACGAAAGACGTCGGGATGTTCATCCAAATATGACACAACGCCAACGACAGCAATAAGCGACAGTAGTAAAGGTGCCCCAGCGTGGAGGATAGCTAGTCGGTGTGGGGCAGAGAAACAGGCTGGAGCGTCGTGCTTCAGCTGCAGATCCGTTTATTTCATGACTTGATGATCCTGCGGCAGGCGATGCACGGCTGACATGAGCCTTGTTAGAGATAGGGTTAAGCGCAACCTCAGCTCGTCACTCCATCATCAGTGATATCTTGAGCGTTTCTGTTTCTGGAGACGACTGGTGGTACAGGGATGCCGCTCGAGCTGACCTGTCGGAGCATTTTTGCCAGTTGTAGATCACGCCCGCCAGTGTGTGTCGTCAACACTCATTGCCATATTCACATGGATGTGTGAGAAGCACGACGCAGTACCAGCAGCAGCAGCAGCAGCAGCACCACCACCACCACCAGTAGCCCACTACCAGTCCAGTAGCGTCCAGGGCTCGCCGTTGGTTCCAGGGGCCTTGCATTCCCTGCATTCCCTGCATTCTCTGCATTCTCTGCATGCACTGTGGACTCCCAGCAAATGGAGTAATGGACCAGGATGGCCTCAGCCACCAGAGTCAGAAGAGTGTCCAAGCTCAAGATAGGCTGCGAGGCTGCGACCCACCCTCCGACATGGGCGTGATGCTTGGCTGCAGCATCGACATAGCAGGGCTGCATTGAACGCCTAAAGAGGCGTACAGGCGATGACCCTGGCCCAAATGCGTAAACGCATTGTCTCTGTGCTCACGGCGGCGGGGAGTCAACACGTCAGATCCACGACTCTTGGAAGCGCCAGCGCATTTGCGACGTTGCACACGCCGAACTCGCACTGCAGACTGCACGAGATCATTCGGGTTGTGCGATGCTTGCACATGGCTCGACAATCGTGGAACGTAGCATCCACTGCTTGCCACGCGCTCGTCCCGAGTGCGCGAGACCGCGTGTACCGCACCATCGCGCGGGAATGGCTCAATGCATACCTCCGGTAGAATTGATAGCATTGATAGAATTGATAGAATTGCGCTGGTGCGATTACGCATCGCGCACAGGCGCTGTGTGAATGTTGTCCCCCAGTATCTTATGCTTCTGTCATCGAGTCAGCATCCTGACTGTGTAACTCGCAATGCGCTCATCGCTCCTGCTCAGGCTGCCCTCGCTTGAACAACTATGTACGCCTTGGCGCTGTTGCATATCATGTCGAACTTGGCCTCAACGACCTTCTCCTACCTGTATGTATCTCCAGCAGCAACGTCAACTTCCACGTCAGCTTGCATGTTCATGATCAGGTCCGACTCCTCTTCAGAAGTCGGCAAACCGGCAGTGTCTTGGGCATAAACAAGTCGGAGAGTTCGATCAGCAGGCGGCTTTCTGTGACCGACAGGGCTGGCACAAGAAACGGGTGCAAATGCCAGCCACCTCAATCTCCAGACCTAGAAGCGAAAGCGTAATACTATTTTCCGATCTCGAACAATTGACCCTGTGCATTAGCGTCGATGACCGCGACATGCTTCTCGCGTCACCCCAAGAGCGCGAAGAACACGCTTCTACTCCGGCGTGCTTAAAAATCATCAATTTCCTGGCCGCAACTCTGTCTATGATGAGAATGAGCCAGTAACTTTGGCCCACTCACTGTAAGTGTTCGTGTTTGAAGAATGGCGTTGCTCATCGAGCGCCCGAGGCTCGACCTATGTGCAGCGTAATGAAGACTGTGGGGGACGATCGTGGTGCCAATGATCAGTCCCTGCCAATTAAACAAGATGTTATGGTTCCTGGAAGGGTTTCCGGGCGTATCTGCGCGATAGGCAATACTGATACCACATCGCACCCGCCTTTTTTTGCGCATACATGTGGTGGTGGTGGTGGATCAAGCGCTCAGCCTGACTCAGGAACTATTGGCTTGCCATAAGCCGGAAGTTCTGAGGATGCCTCGAATGTACATGTTCGAGGTAGGCTGCTGACAGGAACTCATCCCGTGTCTTGTCGTGCTTATCGTCACTACAGGCACGACACAAGTTTCTCCCGAATCAATAGCGTCAGAGCTTGTTTGGATTGGCTGCTGGGCTCGCGTTAGAGAATGGCAGAGGGAAAGTTGGTGTGCGTGAGCTTGAAATTCCAGATTGACTTTCGTTTGCGAAGTGGCATCACTGCCATCACAGCTGTATCCTCATGGCATACACAGAGTTACCTTCCCGTTGTCCACGCCGCGATCGGGTTTGCAGGACTGCGGCCCACACAGGACCCTCATAAGCCCCCCAATGATGAGATTGGCGTGGGCCTGCATATTTGCTGCATCCATCCTGCTGGGTGAGTGGGTGGGCTCCCGTGTTTTCGGCACCGGCCTTGCTCCTCTTCCTCCTGCTCTTGGCGGCGATGGGGCCTGTATGCTGACCAAATGCTCGCGCTGACTGGATTGCTGCCTGGTGGTTTTTGTGAGTGACGCAACGGGCGAGGGTGTTGCAGGCGGAGATGTGAAACGGGGTCGTGTGTGATGGGGACGGGAGGAAAAGAGTGTTCAAAGGTTCAGGACGGGACTCGGGAGTTTCTCAGCCAGCTGCCCGCCGTTGCCGAGAGGCCCGAACAGGTTACAGCGAACGGCGTCTGCCTTGCCGTGCCGTGACGTGCCGTGCCGCTCCCTTTCCGCTGCCGAATACACTTAGTCATCGTTTCCTGCGGACGGGACATTCCATTTCTCACACTCGAAACTCGCTACACTGTACACCTCCGAAGCCAACCAACTGAACATGACCATTGACTGCATATGGCAATGCGGCCGCTGACTCAGTCCTGCTGGCGTGCTCACGGATCTGCCGAGAGTGCAAACGACGGTACTGGTAAGGCTGGCCGGTCCCAACAGTGCCATCTCGCGTCATTGCTTGGTCTGAGCTGGCGATCATGCATCCGCAGTCTGTGAGGCCCATCACTCTCGGCTGATGGATGGGAAAACCAAGAACTTCAACGACGGCACGCCTGGAATTCCGTACAGCACACCTGGCGAAGACAATTGCCCGAGGGGCCCAGACAGGCACTCATCCAGGGCGCAATGAGATTCGTACAGCCTCACCAGCTTCGCCATGCTGGGCATCACTCGAATTCCTGCAGCATACCATCAATCCTGCCTTGGAAGAAACGTGGTTGATGAGGATTGATCTCACGGTCAGTGGTGGATGACTCAGCAGTTGGCCTTTTGCATCCTAGGAGCAAACTATTGGCTTAGCTTCTGCTACCCAAGCGGAGGGCGGCAGGAAGGCAAAGAAGTACATATGCAGACTCTCGTGGCATTCAGGAGCAGCTGAAAAAAACAGACGGCTTCTCACCGGAAAAGAATTCTCCGCATCCGCAAACAAAAAACTCGCTTCTATCCTGCACACGTCATTCGTCTCTTCTCTCCTGGTGGCTTTTTGGGGCTGCAGCTTACTACTGATGTATACAAACAGCTCGCTCTTATTCAGCCCGAACGCAACACGAACTCAGCAATGATAGGACGTCGTCCTTGGTTATCTATGCAAGAATCAGGTCAAGACTACACACGCCTCCAAGCAACAAGGAATATCAAACCTGCTCTCCGAGCAATCCCATCGATGCCTCCGTCCGGTAGCATGCACACTGCACAGACTGCATACCCGATGACTATTGACCTGCGAGAAGCCGCTGTCAAGGTTTTTTTTCCTTTTCTTTGCAAAAGTCTGGTCCCCGAGGATGCACCAGATGATGCTCTGCGAACAGCCAATGCAGCGGGAACTCCGAGTTCCCTCTAACTCTTTTCACGCGCGCAACGCACAGCTGATATAGTCATCCGCTGTTTCGAGCGAAAGATATGAAAGTGCAACAACAGAGAGCACGTCATTTCATGTGACTCCCATATAGCAGAATTTACGAGTTCCATCTACGTACTTGCGGCCTTGAGCTCGCTCGCTCGCTTTCCACACACTGTGCGATCCACGTTGAAAAAACTGCCCACCTTCTAGACTCTCTTGTGAGCCCACGCTGCTGAATCATCAGAAGTATAGAGTAAGGTAACCTACCTTACCTTGTACCAGTCAATCTTCCAGCCCGTAGTCACTAGCCGCTGCTCAATCTACCTATCTACCTATACTATAGATAGCTCCAGCAAAATTAAAACACAACCTTCAGCAAAAATAAAAATCTAGTACTTACCTTAAGGAAATTGCTACCTAACCTACCTACTGTACTAAACATCTCTATACCTTAAAAATTCACGGCAACTTGTACTTCCTAATTCCGCAAAATTTTAAATGTTAGCTCTCTCATCACAGCCAAAAAAAAATCAAAAACGACGAGAGTTACGACTGAGCTACCAATAGGGGAGGTACCCTAGGTAGGTACAGGTAGCGCAATTCCAATTCCAATTCCAATTCCAATCCATAAATCAATCAATAGGTAATTTCATTAAGTTGCTTCAACAAAAGAATAAAAATATGCGTACAGTCCAGTTACTAGATAGTGATGAATGAGACAGACTTGCAATTTGAATAAGGTATGTAACGAACCCAACGATCGTACTTTGTCTGTCTCTCTCTCTTTTCTTTCAAAAAAAGTGGATCCCTCTGTTCCGTACCTTATGGAGTGAAAAGCGAAAAATCGGCGTATGACATAGGTGACAATACTATGATATGGATGGAAAATGACAGCTGTAGCGTCAGAGAGTCTAGGAGCCAAAAAAAAAATCGAGATGACGATCAGAAGCTACATGTACGGTATAGGTAGCGTACCTACATGTACCTACCTACCTTACGTCAGATATCTCATATCGGCATCGGCATCGGCAGAGTACCGTGGAAGGTACCTACAGGAATGTACATGACCAGTGCCGAGACGGCTCTCGGCCTTGAGAACAAGCGAGATTCTTCTGACGCAACAGATAGAAGCACGGTTATGGTTCGACTGGGAACCCAAGTCGTATTGTGCGCCGCAAGGATGATGATGATAGAAGAAGAATAAACATCATCATCGCTGCAGCAGCTGCAGCTGCATTGGATGAAACAGGAAAGGAAAAAAAAAACTTACCCCAGAATAAAAAGCAAAACCGGTATATGTGCCTAAATAAGGCGGGCCAAGAAGACAGTCTGAAACCGACACGTATTTCTTTTCTTCAATCTTCTTCTTCTTCTGAAGATCGGTATATGGGCAGATCGAGGGGCCAGAACTGGAATTTCGACTGTCTGCCTTAACTATGTACGCGTGTGACCAGCCATTGATTGTCACTTACCGGTTTCTTGGGATATTAAATGGTCGTTCGGCTCGGCACCGTGCTTCCGAACTTGGATTCTTCTTCTCTCGGCACTATAGTGCTTCTTCGATCGGAAATGCTGCGATATAACCTCGATCAGCGATGTTCCCGAACAGCTGCACATTACGACAGTGTAGCAGCAGCAGCATCAGTCTGAACAGCTCCAGACGCCAGTGAACCTGTTTTTGAATGTCGCATCTTGTGCGATCCAAGCAGCGGTGAAGCGTGGCAAGGCGATGAGAGAGAACCTGTGTGCTGCTCGAGGCGGACGTAAACATGGGCAATGGCCTTCTACATTTGCTCAAGTCCATCGACGCCTCGTATGGACATCGGTAGGAGAGAGTCGCGATCATGTGGCGGGTTCAGCTGTCTGTGCTTCGCAATCACCGCTGTAGCTGTTCAAATGAGAAAATCCGACGTGCCGTGAAGAGGTCCAGGGACCAGGCTGCGATTGCTAATCATGTGCGCCACATCTTTGATGAAGTCAGGACTTTGAGGTAAAGGCGTCGCGGACGTGCATAGACAGCACGATTGCTATTGCTCGAATACGCTACACCTGTCAGCAAGCCGTTTGGAAGGAGTTGCTGTGCCCATACTCAACAGTTCCGAAAGCACTATCAACCTTCTCCATTGCGACAGTGAACACGGTTGACGAGAGACGCCTGCAATGTGCATAATTTTTGCCTGCGAGTCGCGGTTGGCATGTGCAGACCTGCGTTATCCCATTGTCGCCAATTCCCGAGATTGACCATAGTGTCCGGCCCAGCGACATGTGGATAGGCGTCTGTATCACGAACCGGAGACTTGCGCATGAAGGAATGCAGTATAGACTCTTGATCAGGGAATTGCACGGAGTAATTGGGCATACTGTATCTCTGTCGCTTCAACGTCGTATTGATAAGAACCTTGGAGCATCTCGCACGCTCTTCAACGTGAAAAGCTCAGACCAGCTCAAGCATTGCAGGCGATTATCGCTGCAGCACGGCAAGCAAGGAGTATTCCAACGCCAACGCCAACACGTGCAGAGTGTGTCGTTGTACGGCAGCCGTGTTCATCCCGAATACCATGGCGTGGGCACGAACAACGATGCAGAGCAGCGTCTGAGCGGCTGACAAGGCAATAATGCAGCGGTCCACTTGACATGTGATAAGGTACATGTAGCTTGTGCCCAACTTCAATGATGCGCTCTCGCGTATATGCACAAGGTCAACGACCCGCGATCCTGCCATAGGTCAAGCAGCAAGCGCTGTGGCAATATGCCTCTTTTAGAAGAGTTGCAAGGAGTTCGCACTCATTGGCACCAGAGCGGTCTCGCTTGAGTGTGGTAGCATAGCGCATCAGCGTCGCTTCCAGACTCGACTGCTACGCCGTACTGTCAGCACAACAGCTCAGACATCGCGTACCAGATGACTGAGAATAGATGGATGATGCCTTCATATCGCCTTGTGGTCAGTATGAGCGACTTCGCAGGTACGCTAAATCGTGGACCCAAATCACCCAATGTGGGACCCCGATACCCGCGCCGTGATTTTGCTCCTCTCCCCTACACACAGACGCAGTAGCGCTCGTCAGTGGACCATCGTGAGTGAGTCGATCTGCACCTGGAATATCCACGTTCTGTGCTCAGACCTCCACAGCCCCGTATTGCGGTCCCAATGTCTCCGCGTGGCGACCAAAGGGCTGGAGAGTTCATTGTAGCGTGGAGGATGCACTGGATGATTGCTGCCGCCGACTGTTTTCGGGCGGGACCTCTGAAGGCGCTCGGCGACAAACGCCTCTGCAAAGGACCCGATTCGGCAGTGAGTCGTAGAGGCACATGGATGGCCCAGGTCTGGTGTTGCAGTTGCACAGCATTCGGAGTCCATGTGGATCGCACAAGTCGCGCGCGGGTGGCGTTCGGAGAAACGCGTCGAGCGTGTTGTTGTGGTAAGGTACCTAGGAGGTAGTAAGCACCCTTCCTCAGGAGCATATCTTAGTATAGCGATGCAGTCTTGGCGTTGAAGGAAGTCAGCAAGTGAGGTGTAGATGTAGGAAGAAGAGGAGGAGGAGCATTTGAGGCTGAGGATGCTGAGGATGACACATCATACATGTCTGGACTCTGAAGAGACTCTGAACGTGATATTGGCAGGAGCGAGCAGGGAGATGTGGTGTGATTGAGGGTCCTGAGCACCTTACGCTAACTACTTGAGGCCAAGCGCCTTGGCGCCCTCCGCACTTTTCTCTGCGCCAAGGTAGATTTAGGATATCGCAAATCTCGAGTGCTCAACATTGGATTATCTCCGCGTGAAACACGACAATGTCATCTTCCCGAATTGGACAATCTTCTTATACTCAGCCTGACGAGCAGGACCCGGCCATGCAACATCATACATCGCATGCGCTCTCTCTGCAGCAGCAGGACCCGATGAGGCGGCGGGACGCGATCGCCAGCAGCAAGAGAAGGACATGCTGTGCTGTAAGGGCGATAGTAGTATGCGAAAGCAGTGCTCGGAAGTGAGAACAGCAGCAGTAACATGTGCCAGTTCCTGCGGCAGCAGTACAGGTTGATTGGCACAGAGTAGGGCGCTCCAGCCGCTGTACAACCCATCTGTGGCGCTCAGTGTGCTAAATGGCATACCCGCTACTTCAACCTAAGCGAGATCCATGTTTAGCCTTCCTCGTCGAAGCAAGTCTGCTACGGCTCTACAGAGTCTACAATGCAAATGCTGCGCCATAGACTCAGATAGCAATCCCTTCGTTCGGAATCGGTCCACCCGTAAGCAAGGCCTGCAGCAGAACCACCTACATGTATCTCTGAAGGCATGTCATCATTGCACGGGCTGTGCGTGTCTGGCACCACCGGTGACTTGCTACCGGCCACGATGGAGAGCCGAAATTTCGTGACTTCATCTCGTCTTGCAAACAACACCTGCCACCAGCCTCGCGACCAAGGGAATCTAACAATAGCCTCACCGTTTGGCCGTTGCTTATCCCCATTTTCGGGCATGGATGGGATCCTGCAATGTGCTCACTATGACCTGCGGCGGAGCTCTAGCTCTGCTTCCAGATGAGCACTGTCGAGCATCTCTATTTGGCAACCAAGGACACAGCAGCCCGCCCGACGCAGATCCACAATCGGAGCACATTCCTTGCAGACATCGAATAATCAAGTACGCTCGAGGGACCCTTGTTCCATCAGATTGATATACATACGGCTCGCAAGTACGCCGTAATCGAAAGGTCCTCCTGGAACCTGACAATACCTGAGTACCACGGATAGTCTAGCCACCTTCCGTATTGATTTCATTGCCTTCATAAATATATGCAGTCCTCAGTCTCCTTCACTCTGATCAACAGCTCCGCGCTCATCCTTCCCCGAACCGCTGCCTTTCGTGTCTAGCCACCACGACTGAGCTATTCCAGATCTAATTCATAATCGAAGCCTACTCATCAACGACAAACCGAAGATTAATACCTCACCTTACCAACCTAGTCGAACATCGAGCTTTCCCCCCAGAGAACAGCCTGATCAACGCCACCATGTCCAACATTCTTCTCTTCGGCGATCAGACCGCCGAACAATACCCACTACTTCACAAAGTGACTCTCCACCGCGACAATGTGCTGGTCAGCAATTTCGTCCAACGATCTGCTCTGGCACTGCGAGAGGAGACACGTGCTCTGCCACGCAGTCAACGAGATGCCATGCCAGACTTCTTGACTCTCACGAGCCTCGTGGAGGCGTACTATCAAAAAGGCGAGAAGGTGCCGATGTTGGAGTCTGCTCTCGTGACCATTGCTCAATTGGGTCACTACATTGGATACTTCTCTGAGCACCCCGATGAGCTGCCAGCTACTTCCAACACTCGCGTTCTGGGCCTCTGCACTGGTCTGCTTGCAGCCGCAGCCGTCGTTTCCGCAAGGACTATCGATGAGCTGGTTTTGCTTGGTGTCGACTTCGTTCGCGTTGCCTTCCGCTCAGGCGCTGCGGTCGATGGCATTCGCTCGGTGCTCGCGCAGCCTGGTCAAGAGAAGACACCGTGGTCAGCTATTGTCACTGGCACTACACAGGAGGATGCCAAATTGGCCTTGTCAGCTTTCCATGAAGAAAAGGGCATCCCACTATCGAATCAAGCATACATTAGTGCTGTATCTGTCATGGCAATCACGATCTCAGGACCTCCGACCACATTGGAGCGCTTCTTCAAAGAGAGCGCTCTGTCGGAAAACAACCGCGTTGCCATCCCAATCTATGGTCCGTATCATGCTCCACATCTTTTCCACGAAGCTGACCTGGAGCGTATCCTTTCTGGCAACGTTGGTCTCGAACTCAAGCAGCATGTGCCCTCTGCTCTGGTTCACTCTGCAGCGACAGGAAAGCCGCTTGTGGCTGAGAACTCCTTCGAACTCGCCAAGACCGCTCTTCGCGAAATGCTCCAGAGCCCTGTACGCTGGGACTATTTGCTCGAAGAGGTCGTTTCGCAAATGGCCGCAAGCAGACTACCCGCCAAGATCTACGCTCTCGGAGTCAGCAATATTGCAAACAGCCTCGTGACCGCTCTCAAGGCTGGTGGCAAGACCGAAGTGTCTGTCATTGACCAGTCTGCCTTCACCGAGTCCACCGAATACAATGGCCGGACACAGAACGACAAGATTGCCATTGTCGGCATGGCAGGTCGTTTCCCCAACTCTGCCAACCACGAAGCCCTGTGGGACTTGCTGATGAAGGGACTTGATGTACACCGAAAGGTTCCAGCCGATCGCTTCGATGCCGATGCTCACTGCGACCCTTCTGGAAAGGGCAAGAACAAGTCCCATACGCCTTTTGGTTGTTTCATCGACGAGCCAGGTCTTTTCGACCCTCGATTCTTCAACATGTCCCCTCGCGAGGCTGCCCAGACCGATCCTATGGGCCGTCTTGCTTTGGTCACTGCGTACGAAGCGCTCGAAATGTCTGGCTACGTCCCCAATCGTACCACATCCACCAAGCTCAACCGCATCGGCACCTTCTATGGCCAAACATCAGATGATTGGCGTGAGATCAACGCAGCAGAGAACGTCGACACCTACTTCATCACAGGTGGCGTGCGCGCTTTTGCTCCTGGTCGCATCAACTACTACTTCAAATTCAGCGGCCCATCGTACTCCATCGATACCGCGTGCTCATCGTCGCTTGCTGCCATCCAGCTTGCCTGCACGTCTCTGTGGGCAGGTGACTGTGATACTGCCTGTGCTGGAGGTCTCAATGTTCTCACCAACCCGGATATCTTCTCGGGCTTGTCCAAGGGCCAATTCTTGTCCAAGACGGGATCCTGCAAAACCTACGACAATGACGCCGATGGGTATTGTCGTGGTGATGCTTGTGGTACCGTCATCCTCAAGCGCTACCAGGATGCTGTTGCAGACAAGGACAACATTCTTGGATGTATCCTGGGCGCGGCGACCAACCATTCGGCCGAGGCGGTGTCCATCACTCACCCGCACGCTGGCGCACAAGAGTTTCTGTACAAGCAAGTACTTGCAAACGCAGGCGTCGATGCTCACGAGATCTCATACGTGGAGATGCACGGCACCGGTACCCAGGCTGGTGATGGCATTGAAATGACATCTGTGACCAACGTCTTTGCTCCTCGTCACCGCCAGCGTCGACCCGACCAGACTGTGCATCTGGGAGCCATCAAGGCCAACGTTGGCCACGCTGAAGCTGCTTCTGGAGTTAACTCCCTGGTCAAGGTCCTGATGATGATGAAGAACAACAAGATCCCCGCCAATGTGGGAATCAAGGGCGTGATGAACAAGACTTTCCCTGCCGATCTTAAGGACCGCAACGTCCACATCTCACAGCAACAGGTCGACTGGCCACGCAAGACTGCTGCCCCGCGGAGAGTTTTCCTGAACAACTTCTCTGCTGCCGGTGGCAATACTGCTCTGCTGATCGAGGATGGACCACTTCGTGAGGCACCCAAGGCCGTGGACCCGCGCAGCACTCTTCCCATCACCATCTCAGCCCGGTCGATTGCATCGCTGAAGCGCAACCTGAGCCACTACCAGCAGTTTGTTCGTGAGAATGCAGGCACCACACTCACGTCGTTCTCTTACACCACCACTGCTCGCCGCATTCAGCACAACTACCGTGTTGCCTTCTCTCTTGCCGATGCCAGCAAACTTGTCGACTCACTGCAAGGTCAAGTGAAGGACACCTACAGCCCAGTACCCATGGTTGCTACCAAGGTAGCCTTCTGCTTCACCGGGCAAGGCTCTCAGTACACGGGCTTGGGTCAGAAGCTCTACCAGGACCTGAAGAGCTTCCGCGATGATATCGACCAGCTGGATCAGCTCGCTCGCATACAGGGGTTGCCATCATTCCTTGAGCTCCTTGATGGCACAGATGTGCAGACGTTGTCGCCTGTCAAGGTGCAACTAGGCATGGCCTGCATTCAGGTTGCCTTGGCTCGCATGTGGGCTTCGTGGGGGATCACTCCATCTGCAGTCGTTGGTCACAGCTTGGGCGAATATGCCGCTCTCCATGTCGCTGGTGTGATTTCAGCTTCGGATATGGTGCTCCTGGTTGGGCGTCGTGCCGAGCTTCTCGTACGCGACTGCACTCCACACACTCATGGCATGCTGGCCGTCAAGGGCAGTGCGGATGCCATCCGAACAGCTCTTGGACCCAAGATGACCGAGATTGCCTGTATCAATGGCCCCGAGGAGACCGTGTTGTGCGGAAGCGGCGACGTGGTCGGCACTGCGAATGAGATTCTCGCTCGATGCGGCTTCAAGGCAACGAAACTCAACGTGCCTTTCGCATTCCATTCGGCTCAGGTTGACCCCATCCTCGAGCAGTTCACCAAGGTTGCTTCTGCAGTGACCTTCAACAAGCCTGTGGTCCCAGTCCTCTCTCCCCTTGAAGGCCAGGTCATCCGCGACGATGGCATCATCAACCCCACCTACCTTGCCCGTCACGCTCGTGAACCCGTGAACTTCTGGTCTGCTTTGATCAGTGGTCAGAGTGCAACTGTGTTTAGCGAGAAGACGGCTTGGCTCGAGATTGGTGCTCACCCCGTCTGCTCAGGCATGGTGAAGGCTTCTATTGGTGCTACAGTCACGGCCCCATCCCTTCGCCGAGGAGAGGACGCATGGAAGACCATTTCCAACAGTATCTGCCAGCTTTATACAGCTGGTGTCAACATCAACTTTGACGAGTTTCACCGCGAGTTCAACGATGCACAAGAGCTCCTGACACTACCAACATACTCGTTTGACAACAAAAAGTACTGGCTCGACTATCATAACAACTGGACACTGACCAAGGGCGAGGCAGCGCAAATCAAAGAGGTCATTCGCGAGAAGGAGGTCGCTGCGCCAGCTCCAGTTGTAGAGGTTCCTGCGAAACGACTCTCTACTTCTTGTCAGAAAGTTATCAGCGAAGAATTCAGCGAGACTTCTGCCAAGGTTGTCATCCGCTCCAGTCTGGCTGATAACAAGCTCTACCCGGTCGTCTGTGGCCATTTGGTGAACAACGCTGCTCTCTGCCCATCCTCGCTGTACGCCGACATGGCTCTCACTGTCAGTGACTACATCTGGAAGGAGACACACCCAGAGAGCGAGACACCGGGCCTCAACGTCTGCAACATGGAAGTACCAAAACCTCTGATTGCGCAGATTCCACAACCTGCTCAAGGCCAGCATGTCGAGATGGAGGCCGTTGCGGATCTTGAGAACAACACTGTCAAGGTCAACTTCCGCAGTGTCCAGCCCGATGGCAAGAAGATTCAAGACCACGCTCACTGTATCGTACGCTACGAAGACAAGGCAGCCTGGGCAGGCGAATGGGCTCGCTACAACTTCATGGTCAACGCTCAAATCGATACGCTCACCGCCAAGACCATGACCGGAGGCGCTCACAAGGTGCAGCGCGGGATGGCATACAAGCTCTTCAAGGCGCTTGTCACCTATGACTCCAGATACCGCGCCATGTCAGAAGTTGTCTTGGATGGTAAAACTACCGAAGCCTCTGCGACTATTGATTTCCCCACGAAACCAGATGACGGCGACTTTTACTGCTCACCATACCACATCGACGGATCCTGCCACATTTCCGGATTCATCGTAAATGCTTCTGATTTGCTGGACTCGGAGCAGAATGTCTATGTGTCGCACGGCTGGAGCGCCGTCAAGATCAGCAAACCCCTCACTGCCGGCATGCGGTTGCGCAACTACGTTCGCATGTTGCCACAGCCGAACAACATCAGCAAAGGTGATGTGTACATTCTCGAAGGCGACGAGATCGTTGCGGTGTGCGAAGGCATCAAGTTCCAGCAGATCCCGCGCCGTGTACTCAACACTTTCTTGCCACCAAACAAAGGGTCAGCCGCGCCCCAAGCGCAAAGGTCGATCGCTCCCAAGCCAGCTGCTCGTCCACTGTTGACACGATCACCTCTTCCTGCTCCAGTCAAGGTTGCTCCGGCACCGGTTCGCAAGACCGCTCCTCCACCTCCAGCTGCCGTCGCCGCCCCGGCCTCACGGTCTGTTTCCAAGCCGAAGAAGGTCGCTCCACCGAAGAAGCCATCTGGCGGACTCGTTGACAAGATCATGCAAATTCTGGCCAAGGAGACAGAAGTGGATGTTGCAGAGCTGGTAGACGATGCTCATTTTGAAAACTTGGGCGTCGACTCGCTACTCTCGTTGACCATTTCGGCCATCTTTCGCGAGGAGCTGGACATCGAGATCAGCTCTTCTCTCTTCACTGATTACCCAAGTGTTGGTGAGATGAAGAAGTACTTTGCTGGGCTCGACGCATCTTCGAGTGGCAGCAATAGTAGCAGCAGCAGTAGCGCTCCCGATTACGATGAGGATTCGGATTCCGACTCGAACCCAGCGACCGATGTGCCCACACCGCTGGAAGACATTTCGACTCCGGCTTCGTCAGCTCCGTCCATCATGGGCAAGCCAGCGCCCGACTCTCCTACCCGCGACTCATTAGCAGAAGTGGGTGATGTCTCGATTGCCCGCCATGTTGTGGCACAGGAGATGGGAGTCGACATCGAGGAGATCACCGACGACGCGGACTTGTCAGAGCTAGGCATGGACAGTCTCATGAGCTTGACTATTCTCGGCGAGCTACGCGAAAAGACCAATGTCGATCTGCCCAGCACCTTTCTCTCGACGAATCCTACCATGGCCGACATTGAGAACGCTCTCGGCATGCGACCTGCACCCAAAACCGCTGCTGCTCCTCGATCAGCCGCGAAGACGTCAACACAGACAGACATGAACGAGGTCTCTGCTCGACTCGGTGCCATCAACAAGACCGACATTTCCAGATACCCCGCCGCGACTTCGGTACTGCTGCAAGGCAATGCAAAGATTGCCACCAAGAAGGTCTTCTTTCTGCCTGATGGGTCTGGCTCAGCCACCAGCTATGTGAGCATACCCAATCTCGGACCAGACGTCGCTGCATATGGTCTCAATTGTCCATTTATGAAGAATCCCGACACCTGGGACTGTGGCATTGAGGTCGCGTCTCTGATTTACCTTGCGGAGATCAAGCGTCGTCAAGCCAAGGGGCCATACATCATCGGAGGCTGGTCTGCAGGCGGTGTCATTGCATATGCGGTCGCTCAAGCATTACTGGCTGCTGGCGAGAAAGTGGAGAAGCTACTGCTTCTCGACTCACCTTGCCCGGTCAACCTCGACCCCCTACCTGCACGCCTCCACATTTTCTTCAACGAGATCGGCCTCCTCGGAACCGGCGACCCGAGCAAGACCCCCAAATGGCTTCTCCCCCATTTCTCCGCTGCCATTCGCTCCCTATCCGCCTACGACCCCAAACCCACGCTCCGTCCCATCCCCACATATGCCGTCTGGTGCAAGGAAGGCGTCGCCGGCAACCCAGGTGACCCTCGCCCACCCCCAGCCGAAGATGAGGACCCAGCGCCTATGAAATGGCTCCTCAACCACCGTACCGACTTTGGCGATAATGGTTGGGCACAATTGTGTACAGGACCATTTAAAAATGGAGTCATGAATGGTCACCACTTCAGCATGATGAAGGAGCCTCATGCGAAAGAACTTGGCAAGTTGATTCGTGAGGGACTGGACTGGAGACCTTGAGCACGATACCTCATCATCCCACTTACCCGCGAGAGAGAGGACAAGCTGTGTGACGCCAGTGGTCTTTGCGTAGCAGCACCAACTACTTTGCCTTGGCCGGCGATGTAGGAAACAAACTGCTACGCCAAATCCTCCGCGTTGCTTACACCCATTCTACAAATAATACCTCATCATTGCTCTTTAGCGAAACGAATAATAGAACCTCATTGGAGCGGGAGGAGGGGGAGGGGAAACCACCACAGTCGGAGATGTGACGATAATACTTTCTCAAGGGAAGGCCAATATTTGTTGGTTTGTTGATTTGTTTTACTAGGTGTGGCGTTGTGCTCTTTTTCTTGTCTTTTGAGCGATATACATCTTTCTTCTTTTTTTTTTTCCTTTTGTTGAAACACAAACAGAGATGGGGATCACACTGTCGTCAGAGGAGGAGGAGATTTTAGAAAGGGAACTTGAAGATTCAATCTGATGCTGCGAAGAGTTGGCTACTTGAGTATCATCGATAGATTAGATTAGATAGTGACCTACTTGATCGAATCGGAAGATGCAGTTGATCTTTACTCTTTTTTTCTTTTTCTATTTCTTTTTTTTCTCCATTTTCTATAATCGTGTGCGTACATGTACATCATTATATCGCCTTCTTCTTCTTCTTCTCATCCAGAGGCATGACTGCCCGTCTATTTATGAGTTGGCCTAATTTGGAACCTTTTGTTACCTAGTACCTTTTGACCAAGGAAGGACTCTTGTCTTGCTTGCTTTCTTGGACAGAGATATCTATGATAATAGCTCTCGAACAGGAACGATTTTTCCTCTTCTTCTTTTCTTCTCTCAAGAGAAAGAAAGAAGATCACGTCCTACTTCTCTCTCTCTCTCTCTCTCTCATCCATTCCATTCCATTTCACCCCTCCACCCCACCACCTCCCTTCCCATCATCCCCATCATCATCATCACCACCCCCTTTCTCCTTCCTCCTCTGCCCAACATCCCAATTATACACTCTTGCAGTAGCGACTTCCATTGTCTATTTCCCAGAAGAACCCCATTAGTACCTTATCCCCTCCTCAAAGAGAAAAAAGAAACAAAAGATAAGTCTCGGGATTTTTGTAACAAAACATACCGTAATCTGCTCCCTCGAAAAATCAACATCATCTTCACAATTTGCCAAACTCTGCTGTGCCGTTTCAAGTTTGGAAATGAGGAGTGTTTCGGCTTCCGGGAGGGGGTAGGAGAGCATGACGTTTGCCTATTTAAATTGTGAGAAAAAAAAAATATTAGCGTGTGGGTGTGAAAAAGAAAAACAACAGCAAAAGCAAAAGAAAAGAGACGGTGATGATAGAAAAGGACTTACGCCAAGCCATAAATAGACTTCTTGGGTGTGATGAATGTGGGCTTTGGCGAAGAGGGTGTCGTTGAGTTCGAATGTTGCTTCGAGGGGTTCGGAGTCTTCCTGGTAAATGGTGGTGGGTGGTGGTGTCAGTAAAGTGCGCGTGTGTGTTTCTCTTTTCTTCTTTTTTGTTGTTTCTTGTTTCTTCTTCTTCTTGCTTTCTCTCTCCCCTCATACTACTACTACATATCACTGCACCACAAACAACAACAACAAAAACACTTACATCACGCTTCTGCAAAAACCGAACTGTCTCCAACGTCTTCTGAATATCCGGAATCTTATCCTTCAAGCCTCCAATACGACGTTTGTTATTGGCTTCCATGAATTGATATTTCCTAATGATTAAAACCAAAATTAGGTGGTTAATTCTTTTTCTTTCTTTCTTCCTTCTCCATCTCCATCCTCCTTCCAGCACTTTCTCTCTCTCTCAAAAACTCACTGAATCATCTCCTGAAAACTCTTCAAAGTCCCTTCGACGTCTGCGCGAGTCGAAACATAATCTTCCACACGATCGACAAAGGGCGCATAGGGAATTCCTCGTGGGTTGGTGGGAGCATCTTTGCTGCTCCTGGTGATGGAATGTTTGGATCAGTTTCAGGTGGCTCTCCATATCAAGAATTTCTGAAATCATAGACTCACCCAGCACTCTTCTTCTTCTGAACCTCCGCCATATCGGGTATAGGTAAGGTACCTGTATCTGATCCTGTCTGTCGGCGTGTTTATGTCATCCAGTACTGACAGTGTTCGCGGGTGGTGGGTGTGCTCCCAGAAAAGCAGTGCACGTGAGGTGGTCTAACTAGTGAATTGACACGGCACGGCGCGTCCCACATCCGCTCACGAAAAGTCAAATCACCAGCCACACATACACACAAACACACGGAGGTATAGATAATCAGCACACCAGCGGGATCGGCTCCCGTGTTTCAAGCGAATACTTTTAGCCTCCACTACAGTCCATATAGGTACCTATCTTACTCCCAACACAACAACCTCACACGAATATGAATCAAATCCTAAAAATCATGGACTAAAACTCTAGGCAATATTCCTTCGAAAGTACATCGCAACTCCGCAATCACAACCCGAAAAAGTGCAAATGTCCGTCCCTATCTCTTCCTTCTTTTCATTTACCGAGAAAAAGGAAAGGGTACCTATAGGTACGTACGTACTTACCTTACCCTACCCTATATACAAATTCCAATCCTACGGACCTACGCAAAAGTAGAACGCACTTGAAAGATCTCTTATCCATTCGGAGAATTGGGGGGATCCGGGAGATACTTCGTCTATTAAGCTCGTAGAAATAGAATTGGATACTGCTACTGCTCCTACTGCTCCTACTATTATTATTCTTGTTTCGTCTAGCTTTTATGCCTAGAATCAATAGTTGTACATCCTTTATTACTGTTACGATTAGATCAGATCGCTTACATTGAGGGATTTTACTTAGGCGGCTATAAGTATACCTATAAGGTATCTTATCTATCGAAACGAGACAGCGGTGTATCTATAGGAGTGATTTCTGCGAAGGGGGGGGGGGGGGGGGGGGGATATTTGTAAAGATCATGCGCGTTAGAGGCAACCTGAGTCGAGTTGTGCTTTCGTTCTTGGAACGACTGACTTGACTAACTAACCAACCACCAGAGACACAGGGTTTTGGGTACGCGGCGTATATATCTCTTACATCTATCTGCGTTGAAGATGATTTTCTTAGTTAGGTAGTCAAGGTTGCATGCATAGCGCACGTGGTGATGCCTGTGACTATTGGATCAGGTGCAAAAGGGTCGAGCAGTGCCAATTGCATCGTAGTGATCAAGCACTTTCACTCATTATGGAGGCGAGTTCATTTCTGGAAGGGGGAAGGATTTCTATAGTCGTATCAATCTCTCCTAACCACTTTACTAGGTACGGTATTCCGGCTACCGCCTTCCAACCAGCCCCCAAGATCCTTTTGTATACTGCATTCATTTTCCAGATCTTGGCTGGCTTTTAGTCGAGTTCGATGACTTCCTGCTCCTGCTTCGTCTTACCTGACTTCTGATTGGGTTTCAGTGTCTGGTTTGCTGTACTGTCATGGGGCTTGTAACTCTGCTTGGATTGGTTTTGCTGCTGTGGTCTTGGCTGAGGCTTCGGCTGTGTCTGACCGTTCGGCTTCTGCTGATGTGATACGTTGTGCTTGGAAGGATTGCGGTTCAACGTCGGCTTCGCATTGGGCACTGGCGTCTCTTGCTTTTCCACCTTGTTCACAGTAGCATCACTTGCTTGGCCCGATGTGCGCATGAAGTCATCCAGTCGCCGGAACACTGTGGGCAGACCCTTCGGGTGTGTAGCGGTGTAGCCACCCTTGTTGTTTCCGAACCAGCCTTCTGCCGTTGAGCCGCAATTTCTGCTCAGCTCGTCAAGAGCATTGCTGAATGCAGCAGGCATTTCGACGCCCTCCCTTTGATGAGGTGTGATGGTATATCTGTGCTGACGCCGCCCTCCCTCTGCCCTATACCATTGCACAGATGCCTTGAACCTGCAGGGGATGAATGGCGAGCGATACTCCACTGTGTGCATCGAGACGTCGTGTGAATGAATCAACAGAGTATGTTGAGCTGCGTGCGAGGTTTCCAGATTTACGAGGCTTTCCAGAAGAGGTTGGACAGCATTCATGGCGAGGGCGAGCGCCCAAAACTTGTGATCCCTTGCCTTATTGTAAAGCCTCTCGAGCAATACGCGAATGCGCTGATGTGGGTTGGTGAAGGGTGGGTCTAGCTTCAGGAGAGTGCCTGAACCATTTGTGACCAGGGAGCCGATGTACTGATGCATAGCGCCATAAGTGAAGGTGATTTTCTGAAGCCCCACAGTAGTGCAAGTGAATTGCAGCCTGGGTGCCGTCAATAGTACCTCATTGAGCTCCCGACAACGATCCAGCAATGCAATGATCTTTGTGACGTATGGCTGGCCAAGGGGAGTGCGTAAAGACAACGCCAAGCCACCAGATCCGTTCATAGCGATATCTGCGTCTCGGACCTTCGAATTCGTGAAGTAATCGTGGAGGTGTTTGAGCTTCTCAGAGTCTACAGTCAAGCGAATGTCGTGTCTTACATGGGCGGTTTCCTCGTCCTCGTCAACGATGCCTTGATATGCTATCCTGACCCAATTCGTGATGCTTAGAGATTTGTACTTTGTTAACACAGAGCTCTTCAGGTCTTTAGGAGTGAGGCGGAGGTAAACTGCCACCGCACTGTCTTGTTGGAGCGAGGTAGTATCGCTGTGAAGTTGTGGCGAGGACAGACTATCAATATGGTGTGGGATCTGGTTCGCCTCGAGGTCGTGCGCCAACACTGCAAAGGATATCTCTGCCTCCGCAAGTCTTCGGATACGTGACAAGTCTGCGCGACATAGGCCAGTTGCCGAGACGTTGATGGCTCGCGCTTCTGCGATTGTCGTAACCGTTTTTCCTTGCTCGACTGCTTGCTTGTTGAGGCGCACAGCCCACCAGTTCTGACCAGAAAGACTGTAGGTCGTGCACAACGCCCAGTCTTTCCAGCCTCTGGCGCAGTGAAGAATGTCAGATCGCACAATCCCTTGGCCGAACAAGGCCTTGAAGTTAGGCTGAGCGCCAAAACCACGAAGATCCGCGAGTTGCCATCCAGACGAGATGACAGCTCTGCGCACGCGATCTTGCACAGCCCGGCAAAGAAGCTGAGTGAAGCTCGCAGAGTTGTCGACGATGGGATTGCGATTGAAATTACGCTCCGCCGTTGCAGCGTCTCGACTTTCAGGAAAAATGGTCATGAGCCCGGTGACGGGCTCGAGCCGCAGGGTAATTGCAGTACGGAGACCTGGAAGTGACAGCCCCAGCTTACATGCGCCGGGATTGGAGGCGGAAGTACAGAGTTCACTGTGCAGGGTTGATGCGGTGCCAGCATAAGTTCGTAACCTTTTCTCAACCGTAGAGAGCGTCCACGACGCGTGCTTGGCTATCACTTGGGTGAGAATGGCGTCCAGGTCTAGATTGTTCCAGTCAATCTCTATGCTGTCGTCTTGCACTTCCTGTCCATGACGGAACCAACGGACAGAATGCCGTGCCGTTGGAGCTTTTCTCATCCGTTTGCCTTGCACTTTGCCTGTGTTGATACCAAATTCGATCCAACTCTTCTTCCCAGCTTGGTCTCGCCAGTAGTGGATCGCGAATACTCTTCTCTGCGTCTCTGTCACCAAGCAGCCAAACCACTTTTCACGAAAGAGTTTCACTGCTTGCGATCTGAAGACATTGATTTTGTGGGTAAGAACAAAATTGTGTAAGAATTCGTAACAGCCTTGAAGGCCCTTGGAGCTCAGAGCTCCATTAGTCTGAGCTTCAAGAGCATTGCGCAATGGGTCCGATATACTGGGCGTTGGCGTGAACGTAAATCGCAAGTCAATGAGGTAGAATTGCGAACTCGGGTCTTCCTCAGCGATTGATAGATCTACTTCGAACTCGCCGGGTACGCGGAAAGTAGCCCTCCCGTTGGCGATCGAATAGTCGCGGAAGTGTAGTGGTAGCTCTTCGTGCAGATTCAGCCGTGTCGCAAGCATCACGTTCATGTCATTAAGAGTCGCGACAAGCCGCTTGGCCGGCAGCTTCTTAGGCGGTATCCACATGAGGTCGGGCCATTTCGACGACTTGCCAGTCGCAAGTAGCTCCATTGCGTCCTCGATGTTGGGATTGCGCATCTTAGCAGCGACGACGCCATGCTTAATTTCGCCAATGAATCTCTTGGCTGCGTCTTGTGCTCTCGACTGTTTCTCTTGCCACACCTTGAGGTCGACGAGCTTCGCCATGTCATGCTCACTGCGTGCCCAGTCTGACAGAACAAGCGCCTTGATGAAGCGATCTCTCTGCCCATTTGCAAAGTCCATCCACACCCGTTTCCGTTCCACACTCTCGCGCGAAGGGTCATTTATATGAGGAACCACTCCGTTTGCAGCCGCCGGTGGAGGCGGAGGCATCTGGCTCATCTTGTTGCACGTATCGTTCAGATCTGCAAAACACTGCTGGGCCAGGCGCTGGAGCATGACACCCATGGGCTTGTTCGCATCTGAACTGCGCCATGACTGATCAAGCGGCGGAGGCGTGGGAAGACTCGAGACTGCTGTGGGTGTGCCGTTCGAATGACCGCTTGTGGCCGTAGAGAGTTGGTGCTGGCCGTTTACTCCGTTGGCCAGTGACTGGCCATTGGGATGGCCGTTCGCGCTGCCATTGGCATGTGCCGTACCTTGCATCTGCGCAAAATCGCGCTTCTGCGACGTGACTCCTTCGTGCGCTTGACCGCGATCCTTTTTCAGGTCTTGCGACCCTACCGGTCCTTGCTGATCCATAATCAGCCTGCCCGGCATCTCCTCCCCACCGGCCTCTGCTCGCAGTGCGCTGCTTCCTCCAGCCTCGCGACTGCTGGCCGCCCCCTTCTCCCGGGCCTCCACTGCCCTCTCAATGTCACTGCTGCTTGCGTGCGCTATTGTGGATGACTGCTCCTCAACCTGCTGGTCATTGCTGTTCCAGCTCTCTGTCGCGACCAGCCGCAATCGGACCCCTGCGCTCGCCTGCGCTCGCCTGCTGCTCGATCACCCGAGTTGTTCCCAGGAAAGTGTTGCAATTGTGCGGTCAAAGGGGTGCGCGGGTCTCTGATCGTCGTCGCAGCTCAAGTTAGCGTGATGTCAGAGCGTATGTCCAGTTCGTGCGCGTGCGCCCGGGTCGCTGCCACGTGCAGGGTAGAAATTGGGCGATCTCGGGGTGCCGTGTATGTTGGAATGGCAATAATGTGGTGTGATGTGGTGTGGTGTGGTGAGTTCTGGCGGGAGAGCGTGAGTCTCTGTCTTTGTCGGTTGTCCGAGGGTCCTTGGGTATGGAGGATGGATGCATGGCATGGCATGGCTTGCTTGGAGAAGGCGGGAGCCGGGAGGAAGACGAGGCGAGACTCCCGATCCCGGAAGATCCGTCTGCCACTGAATATATTCTTCTATCCCACTGGGCCACTCCCTTCCACACACCTTTTCTCCACCGCTCACGAGAACTTCTACCACCTAGAACTACTACTCATCATACTATATTCGCTCCATCTCGTCTTCACATCGTCACAGCTGACCTCGAGCTATCAATACCTGAGAATGTCATTCGATAGCATGACGGTGAATTCATCAGCATCCTCTCATATTGTATATTCACATCGATCCGAACGGCGACGAAAAAAAATCCAGTTTCATGTCTAGGTGTCTACAAAGGACTTGCTCGGAAGTCTCGTGTGACCGCACCTTGCAAGATTGCACATCAAGGGCGGCTCTCGATATTGTTGTACTGCCTACAGTCTGCTATACTATTACCTAGTGGTACCAGTAGAGTGAGAAGCGGCTATCAAACAGCGAGCAATTCACCGAAAGCTAGTAGAAGTTAACTAATGCATGTCCTCACAATCCCACATGCACGACAAGCAGCTGCCGTAGAAATGAAGGATTCGATCATGGATACTGAATCTACCTCCGTAGATATCTCCCATGGGGGATTGACAACTGGATCCGACAGAGATGCGAATTGCGATGCAATCTGGTCCAGTGAGGGGTCGTCCGTATATCACAGGTAGGATGTACAGTATGCGCACAATTACGAAGGACTAGGGCGAGGTTCCATTCCCTGTAGCCACGAGTACAGGTCCTGTATGCGCAGGGCTGGTTCGCATCCAAGAATGCTCGTATGATGTGCCAAGTGCCAACCTCTGTCTCTCCTGCTATCCGATACATAAGCACAATCAGGTATCTCGTACTCACCTCCCTTGGCATAGCCCAGCCGAAGTGTCTCTTTTTCACACTCACTACCGTACATTGCAGACTTGCTGTCTCGCATCGAATCGTCTCGACAGAGTGCGAGTATTCATCACAAGCAAACTTGCACTCGCACTATAGCATACTTCTGCAGATTGACATACTCTTTTACCCATCGCAGCACCCTCGTTGCATGCCTCCCTTGCCCTCTCTCCTGCAGATTGGCGTCACAGTCGGGGACCGTACATCACAGGTCTGGCTATCCTTGCCGACAGAGGCTGAGCCCCAGGAGCAGCCGAAAATGTAGTTTGAGCATTTTTATTCGAAATGCGAGATGAATGACTCCGATTCGGCCGCCGTGACTTCTTTCTGTGCAGGTAGTCCATCTGGACAGCTGCGCTCAGGGCTGGCGACTGCGAGGAACAGCGGATATCAACAAATCGTCGAGCGGCGAGTATGAACGGCAGCGATGGTATTTGGTTCTTTCATCTCTGGCCACCTCCGCCACTCTCAGCCATGAACTGGGGACTTGTTATCTGCTTCTAAGTTTCAAACTTCTGCCCGTGCTGCGCAATTTCCAGCTATGTAGCTAGGACTTAGTAGAGGCAGTGATCATGAGGCACACTCACGAGCACGTCTTATCGCGATATGCAGCCTTCCTTGTAGATCTGCCAGATGGTACATAGCGTGGACCAGGAGAGATCGGTTTCTTCAGGTGCAGTAGCGTGAGGAGGAGGAGAAGAAGGAGGAGGAAGAGGAAGTTCCATCTTCTGGTGTCTCTTCCCACAATCATCATCAGTCTCGCGACGCAGGAGAATGGGCAGTGGGCATAGGCATGGGGCATTTTGGCAGTGACCACTGTTCCGGGGGCCGAACCTCCAGCGCGTCTCGCCGGGCTGCCCAAAGAGGAAATGGTGCCTGAAGCGTTGCCTCGCAGATCGAGACCGCCGACACGACAGCTGACCAGCAACAACCATCCGTCTCACATCCGCATCGCATCTTCTCATTTCACTTCATCATCTCCCACCACCACCACCACCAATCAAGGCTATCTGACATTTGTACACGAAGGCTCAGCATCACTCCTCAACAACAAGGGCACACCAGCAGTATCACGACAGCGATCGTTCGTATCGGAGCACGGCCACGACGCGGATGATGAGCGTTCCACCCCTTCGTCCACCCCCCAGCGCTCGTCTTTCGACGCCATCATGAGGCCTGGCAACGGCGACAGCGACGGCGGCGACGTGCCCGAGCCCGCTTACCCTGGCGAGGACACCAGGCCGACGTCCAGAAAGGAGCTCCTGGGCTTCTACGCCTACTCCTTCGCTGCGGAAGTCTTTGTCGTCTGCGGTCTCGGTGCTTTCATCCCCATCACTCTCGAGGACTTGGCCCGCGCTTCCTCGACTGCTGTTCTCGCGCACGATCACAGCAAGTCATGCAGACCACATGGACTCGACAAACGATCCATGTTGTTCGACGCCACCGGCTCCGTCCTGATGCGAGGCGACCACGACAAAACTAAAGGAGCGCAATGTGTGTTCCAGATCCTAGGAATCGAGGTGAATACCGCCAGCTTCGCCATGTACACTTTCTCGCTATCAGTCCTGATTCAAGCATTACTCGTCGTCACCATGTCCGGAGCGGCAGATCACGGTCGGCTTCGAAAGTCTCTCATGATTACATTTGCCGTGATTGGGGCCGTGGCAACGATGCTCTTCCTTGTCGTGACGCCCAGCGTATACTTACTCGGCAGTCTATGGGCCATCATTGGGAACGTATGCTTTGGAGCATCATTCGTGCTCCTGAACTCCTTCTTGCCTCTGCTCGTGCGCTGGCATCCTTCTGTAAGACGCGATAGTTCTATAATGCAGGATTCTGGGGATGACGAGCATGAGGTGAGCTTTATTCGACTTCTCTCCGTGCCCGAAACTTGCTGCTGTGACCCATCATCTTGGACCCCCTTGGTGTACCTAGATCGATGCGAGGTTCGCCGAAGGCTAACAACTCATCTAGTCTGAAGACCACGACAACACATCGATCGACTCCACCGCGGCGCTTCTGCGCAGAAGTGCTGACACTGAGCCATTCCCAGCCTCCCGTGCCCTGCCTTCGGCTGAGATGCAACTCTCGACCAAGGTCTCATCTTATGGTATTGGCATAGGCTATCTTGCCGCTGTGATTGTACAGATTCTTTCCGTCTTCATCCTCCAGGCCATGCGTGGCGACCTCTTTTCCCTGCGACTGGTCTTGTTCTTGATCGGCTCTTGGTGGCTCTTCTTCACCATCCCCGCCGCATATCTCATGCGACCGCGCCCAGGACCACCTCTATCGAAAGAAGCATCGGGCAGATCCTGGGTGGAGTATGTCACCTTCTCGTGGAGGAACCTCTACAAGACCATCCTCCGAGCACGTCGACTCAAGGATGTACTTTTGTTCTTAGCAGCTTGGTTCATGATCTCTGATGCTATCGCAACTGTCTCCGGTACCGCAATTTTGTTCGCCAAGACCACTCTGGGAATGGAATCGACTGCCTTGGCCATGATCAATGTCATTGTCACCATCTCTGGCATCTTCGGCGCTTTCACGTGGTCTACGGCGTCACGAATGATGCAGTTGAAGCCTTCGCAGACCATCCTGGTCTGTATCTGCCTATTCGAGATCATTCCCCTATATGGTCTACTCGGGTATATCCCAGCCATCCAGCGTTATGGCTCTTTTGGACTGCAACAGCAATGGGAGATGTATCCTCTCGGGGCCGTGTACGGCCTGGTCCTTGGTGGCTTGAGCTCGTACTGTCGCAGCCTGTACGGCGAGCTGATTCCACCGGGCAGCGAAGCAGCCTTTTACGCACTCTATGCCATTACCGACAAAGGGAGCAGTGTCTTCGGTCCTGCCATTGTTGGCGCCATCACGGACGCGACTGGTGACATACGACCTGCGTTCTGGTTCTTGGCTGTCCTCATCGGAACCCCGATACCACTAATGTTTATGGTGAATGTAGAGAGGGGCAAGCGAGAAGGTCACAAGCTCGCTCGCGAGACTTTACCCGAAGTGAATCCTGAGCTGGATGGTTCTGTGATTCATTGGAGTGACTCGAATGAGTATGAGAGTCAGGTTCACCAGTAGCAGAGTCTAGACTATGTATGTGCTGTACTAATACTGATTTGAAACAACAACCTGGGCTTGTAATGTGTATCTTTGCTTTGAATTCTTGCAATATGTGTCATGGACTTTGTTATTTCCAAAATAAAAAGGTATAGTACAAGTTTCCACCAGCATACAGTTCTCTCTCCCTTACACTGCCCTCTACACTGCCCCTACAGCATCCATGGTAGATCAGACATAAGACGTATTCCTCCTCTCCCCCCAAAATCCCTCTCCTCTCATCCCCCTCCAAAAGTCCTCCCCTCCCTCTCTATCCCGTCATACGAATCTCAATCTCAATCTCAACCCCCTCCCCACCTCCCCGCAAATCCTCAAAACCAATAATGCCGTACAACGCACCAGCGAAGTAGACAAGAGGTAGGTTTGATTCATGAAGCTTTTGATAATTTTGATAATGAATATTAGGCAAGTGAGGAGGGAGAGGGAAGAAGAAGAAACCCCTTTTTTCGGGTCGATTTTCTTTCTGTTTTTCGTTTTCTTTCCCTCATTGTTCTTTCGATAGGAAGAATGTTGTTGAAGGTGAGGAGGATAATGGGAAGGTTGATGATGGATATACTATTCAATATGTGGATTGGAATTGTATTGTTAGCTTTGTGGTTAGTTTGGGATTATACGGGATTGAGGTATAAGGTATTGAGCTTTTCTTTTCTTTCTTGGCTGAGGAAGATTGATGGGGATGGATGGATAGGATTCTGGGAGATGGAAGTATATGTATATGGAGAGTTGAGGAATAGGAAAAGAAAACATATGAAATGAGAATTATCTAACTTACATTGCTGTTGTCTTCTAAATCTTGAGAACCATCTTCATCTCCCTCTTCTCCCTCGTCTTCATCCTCCTCTTCTTCATCTTTCTCCTCCTTCCGCGCTGCAGCGAGAAGATCCTCCACAGGCGTCTGAGCCAATTGAATCAGACCGATAAGGAGTATACAGGAGATTCGCATCGTGATAGTGATTTCCTTCGGGCTGGGAGGATTTCTTTTTTGTGGTGCTGGGTACTGATGATGGTTGTGGTTTGATGTTTGCGGAGTTTCTTTAAATTAGTCATGAGGTGGCAATGTATGACTTTGTACTCGTGTCGCGGAGAGAGAAAGAGAGAGAGAGAGAGAGAGGAGCTATGGGGTTTGACCCCAGGGAGCGAGGGAGGGAGGGGGCTGGGTTGGTTGTGGGGGAGGGGGAGTTTGTGACAAGCATATGCCTGGCTAGGAGGAAGAACCAACTCCCTGTGTGTGTAGGATCAGAAAAGGAAAAAGGTTCGGTTCGGCGTAGTTGTATGACGGTTGTAACAGGGTATGATGTTGCTGGAAGAAAAAAGAACCATTGTGACTCTTAACTATACCTACATCCCTTACATTATGATATATGTATGTGCTCAGTTCGAATCGCAAATCAACGCACATCCTTAGCCATGGGCGGATGTCTCAATCTCCAGACTGCGCTTTCAATGCCTACTTGTTGCTCGCCTTGCCGACTCAGCCAAGGTCTCTCTTCGACGTCGTCGTCGAGATTGGCAGCTGCATCCTTGTTCGAATACAGATCCTCCATGTAAGCCCAATCGGGGCAGTCGAATCCACCTCGGACTAAAACTACACGTTGATCCATAATCGCTGCAATGGCACTTTCGTGGAGAGGGGCGACAAGTTGTAAGGCTTTCGCTTCGACATCAATGCCTCGTACCAGTGCTAGGCCAATGCAGTGACTTCGTCGTGGGTCCAGAGGAGGTGTATAGCCTAAGTTGTCCTTGGGTGGGAGGTAAGGGAGGTCTTCGACTGTTGTACGCTGTATTTCGTCTGGGTCGAGGAGGGATGGATCAATCACTACGATGGCTACAATGGTACCATTGAGGACTTCTTCGAGGTAGTCTGGATGTGGTGCGTGTCCGTAGTTCAGGATCGCAGTGATTCCCGGGTTCTGCCCTGCGTAAGCTACGATCCAGGGTCGGATACTGCTGATAGGTTTTGAGATCCATTTCGTTGTGGTTCCAGTCGGTTTTTGATGGAAGTAGGTCATGGTTTGCATTGCGCGCAGCTCTGCTGGTGTTCGAGATGCTTGTTGTCGCGATCGTCGAGGTATACGGATCGGGCTACTGCCTGTGATCGTAGCCAACTCATGCGCAAGGTCCGAGTCGACAGGTTCAAAGAGAATCTATCAAATATGTCAGCACATGCTCTTGAGCTCGAATCGCTGTTGACCTTCGAGCTTGTTGCTCGGCCATGAGCATTCGCGATACACCAGAGTGTGTCTTACAAGCTCTGTAATGGCTAGCTTTGAAGCCAGTGCCACCATCGTACTGGCGCCGAGGTTGCTGACCCAGCCACAAGAGTTCACCACTACAGGCACATCCTTCGCAGCATGATTTACCAGATCAACAGCGCAGGCAATATAGTGCTCCGGGTCGTCCTTGAAAGAGGTCGCCGCTATGGTATGCGATCGTATCATTCGATAAGCTGTACTGCGCGTCGATGCAGCATGCGTGAACGGTGGTCCCAAGACAGGTGCTGTGACTTCAACAAGTGCGAGCTGACCTGGAGGACCAAATTCGGGCTGTCCAGGATCTAGATCAAGGTATAGACATCGAGACTTCGCTTTACCTGCGCGGCTTGTGATCATATTGCAAAGAAGGCGATTGAAAGTAGACTTTCCAGATGACTTAGGTCCAACAGCCATGATTCTAGGGGACGGTCCTTCCGGCTCTAGACGGACTTTCTTGATGCCTTCGTCAATGTCAAGCGGTGCTAAGCTTCTCGCCATAGAGTCGTCGCCCGTCGTGCGCATCAGAGCGAATGATCGTTTCTGGGCCAGATCTTTGGCGCCGCAATTGCGGAAGAGTGGCGATAAATTCTCAATGCTCTGCAGTCCAAAATCTACAGAAGTCACCCGAATTGTGGCGGTTTGCTTCCAAGGTTGGATGACTGGCAGAGGCGCCACAGCCGGTGCATATATCCTTTGCACGCCGCGGCTGGGGTGAAGCACTGCTCCATAGACGGTCACAAGGCCCGTCAAGACCTCGAGATCATACTCCCCTAGAAATGTGACATTCTCCTGTAAGACGGTCGGTCAGTCTATCTCTGAATGTTTTTCTGCGCTCCCACCGATCTGTACTGGAGCCAAATCACCCTCATCACTTACATTCGGCCGCAGAGTGAGCTCTACCCCTTCAGCATCGTCACGAACCACGCTGGCTTTCGATATCGTGGATAGTCGGACTTCTGGTCTTATTGGCGCAGACACCGACTGGTCTTCTTCGTCGTCGCCATCATCATCACCATCGTCGGACATGACATCGGGACTGGCTCTGCTGCTGTGGTGCCCATCGTAGGGTGCTTCTGCGATGGTCGACACGAGAGTTTGTTCTCGGTCTGATATTGCGGAATAATCTTCTTCTACGGGAGTCTGTGTCGCTGCTCGGGCGGCGGCAAACGCGCTGAGCTGTGGCTTGGAGACACCATCGGTGCTGAAAAGCGACTGAGATGCATCTTTCTGCTTCTTGGAGCTGCCAAAGGCGTCTTGTGCTTTTCGTTTGGTGGGCATGTCGTCGTTGGTCGGCGGAGAAGAGATCCATTCCCGAAGCTTTTTTTGCTCTCCCAAACCTTAAAAAAATATTCGATCCATCCGAACATGTGAACATTCCGTCAGCAACTCCCCGATATGAGCTATACTGCAATTAAGGAGTCGACATAGTGACCCATGGCCAAGAAAGCAGAGACGAAAGCTGCTGCGCCCAAGAGGGCAAAGGCGCAGGACAAGACGACGACGAAGAAAAGCACAAAATCGAAATCTAAGGTGGCTGGCTTGAGCGAGGAACGGATTGTCGATTCGGAGTCTGAAGGAGACACGCCAGCCGTAAAGCTAGAAATAAACAGCCCCAAGCCAGTGAAGGGGAAGGACAAGAAAGAGAAGAAGTCGGCGACGATATCAGCTCCAGCACCTCCTCCGCCGAAAAAAGAGCCTACGCCCAGCAGCAGCGATGACAGCAGCGAAGAGGAGTCCGCCGACGAAGATGAGGAGATGGCTGATGCGCCAGCGCTCAAGAAGCCAGACACCGTGCCTGTCAAAGTCAATGGCGTGAAACGAAAGGCGGAAAGCGTGAGTTCGTTGGAGGACGGAGAATCGAGCGACGACGAGACCAGCGACGACGATGCGAAGCCTGATGCGAAGCGCGTGAAGACGGCGCTGAAAGATGCAGGCGAAGTAGAGCAGGTCGGAGAGGTAGCCTCGAGCGGCGACGAAGAGACGGACAGCGAAAGCGAGAGTCAGAAAGAGGACGAACAAGAACCTTCTGCGGATACTGCGCCTGCGCCGCGAGCTGCTCAGCACGTGAATCTCGAAAACATACCAGTGCAACCTTTCCGGCCGCCCAATGGCTATCGGGATGTGGACGTGACAGATGTCACATTCTCTGCGAAAAGCTTCGCGGGTCAGCAGATATGGCACATTGTAGCCCCCAGGAACGTCTCCCTCAAATCTATCAGCGACGTGGCTTTGGACGCAATCAGCTCTGGAGCCACTGTGCTCACTCACAAGGGAACCGAATACAGCTTGAGCGAAGACACGAGCACGAAGAACCAATGCTTTAGCGTGGCAGTGCCGAGCAACACGAGCTATCATGGGATCCCACAGCCTATATCGCGAACACTATACCTCAAGCAGAAAGTGACTCTTCCGAACCTCAGCAAAAAGCAAGCAGATGTGAATACGGGCAGCAGCGCTGCGGCAGATGTTGCTCAACCCTCCATCAGCGATATACGACCACAGCCGAAAGGGATGAGAATGAGATACAAGCCTGCTGGATTTGGCCCTGGCGATCCTGGCCTTGGCTCCGACAGCGAAGAGGATGGTGGACCGGCCAAGGCAAACGGCAGCAAATTGCAGTTTCCAAAGACAATCGGGGCACATGGTGCGGCTGTTGAAGCACAGAATGCGGATAAACCCCAAACGAAGAAGACGAAGAAGGACAGAGGGGACTCGAAAGGTGAGCTCAGCAAAGAAGAGAAAAAGAAGCTGAAGGGTGAGAAGAAGGCGAGAAAAGAAGCAAAAGCAGCCAAGGCGACATGATGGGCAGGTCATCTCTCCATATTCCCAGCGCGAGCATCGGTACGACAACAATTGCTTGTCCTGACAAGTTATTCACCTTCAATTGCAGTACCTGATTCAACTTCTATTTCTTCCATATCACTCACTCTCACTGCACTTCGACTTCTTCCCACAGCTCGCCCTTGCAGCTGCTTAATAATCCACTCCAGCATGATGACATCGCTCCCTCCACTTTTCGCCAATGCAATGTCTTAAAAGAGCTTCGATACACTCACTTCACTTCTCGACTACATACCTACATTGACATCTTCTTTTCGAGACCACTCAAGAACAGGACAGTACCAACAGCAAACCATGGCTCTTCCTTCTACCATGAAAGCCATTACCATCAATGGCAACAAAGCCAAGGTCTCCGAGATCAGTCTTCCCAAGATCAGACCAACCTATCTGCTTGCCAAGGTCGAGGCCATCGCCTTGAACCCTACAGACTGGAAGCATATCAATGGCAAGCGGGCAGCAGAGAATGGACTCGCTGGCTGTGATTTCGCAGGAACCGTCGTGGAGGTGGGAAGTGGTACGTAGCACTTCACTTGGTTATTCCAACCAGCCAGCCAGCGGCCCAGCATACAGATATTCCCCGCCAGCCAGGTGACTAACGAAAGCAAATAGACGTCACCAAGCAATTCCAAGTCGGCGACCGCATCGCCGGCACCACTCACGGAGCAAACGCCAGTCAACCCGAAGATGGCTGTTTCGCAGAATATGCCGTCGCCAAAGCCGATCTCCTCGTCAAAATCCCCTCGACCATGTCCTTCGAACAAGCCGCAACCTTCCCTCTCGGCGTCAGCACTGTCGGCCAAGGCCTCTACCAAAAAGCCCTCAAACTCCACCTCCCCACTGACCCCATCAACCCCCAAAACTCCCAAACCCTCCTCATCTACGGCGGCTCCACCGCCACGGGATCCCTCGCCATTCAATTCGCCAAAGCCTCCGGCTACAAAGTCCTCACGACCTGTTCCCCACACAACAACGATTTTGTCCGCTCGCTCGGCGCAGACGCCGTTTACAACTATAAATCCCCCGACGTCGGAAAACAAATCAATCGCGATACAGAGAATTCTCTCACTCTAATCTGGGATACCATCTCCCTCGCCTCTTCCGCAGCGATTTGCTCCGAAGCATTCTCTTCCGACCCCTCTATTCTCTCCACAGGAGGAGGAGGAGCAAAATACGGCACAATCCTCCCCATCAAACTCCCCTCTTCCAACCCCAACTCCACGCAAATCGAAACAACAATGACTTTCATGTACACAATTTTCAACGAACCCTTCACCAAAGCCGGTCGATCCACACCTTCGATTCCCGAAGATTTCGACTTTGCGAAAAATTTCTTTCAAATTACAGAGGATATGTTTTTGGCAAACACTCTCAAAACTCATCCGGAACAGGTGGGCGAAAATGGTTTGCAAGGTGCGTTAAAGGGAATGGAGGATATGAAGAATGAGAAAATTTCGGGCAGGAAATTGGTGTATCGCGTCAAGGAGACGCCGGAGGGGGCGGTGGGGGTGGGGGTGGAGTTGTAAAAGGTGTACCTACGTAAGTAAGGGAAGTAAATGAGGAAGGGGATGGTGGAAGGAAGGAAGGGGAATGGAAGGTAGCTAGGCAGGTGGTGGGTAGGTTTGTTAGGTAAGACGTAAGGAGCTTTTGATGTCCTTGTTATGGTGGCTGAGGAATGGGTTTGGAAAGAGAGAGAGAGCGGCAGACAAAAGGCATGAAAAAGAAAGGGCACATGATTGAACCAGAAAAACCTCAAAATGTCATCTCATGTTTCAAGCAAGTACATAACAAACTTTTCCATTCTCAAGTGTCTCTAATTACAATGGGATGCCAGCCCTTCTTGCACCACTCTTCATCGTATTCATACAAGCCCATCGCACCGGAGACCTTTGCGCCCCTATCGCATCAACCAAACACTCAGCCTTTCACACTCCAAAACAACCCCCCATCGAGCCACTTTTGAGCCCTCGTGTCCGTGATCGTAACCGTCGTCGCCTTGATGAAGGACTTGGTTTATTGGGTCCTCTAGATGTACCACATGGAGAAGGCGATATTGCCCTGGGGTGGCATTGGCAGGAGCTTTTCGGCCTCTTCTGGAGTGGGCAAAGTAGGAGTGCCGGCAGCAGAGCCGCGAGTGGCAGATTTCTTGTCAGCCTCAGAGCCAGCGTTAATTCGTGCCTGCATCTTCTTCTCGGCGGGGGTTCGACCGTCCGTGCTGCCATCCCAAATGGGATCGTGAGGGGCTGCACGAGCGGCAGCCAAATGAGCGTAGTAGATGGCCGGGTGCTGCGAGATTGGGGTGGAAGCCCGCTGATACTGATAGGCGTGCTCGTAGAGCAGTGTGTGAAGCTGATTGTTACTCATGTCCGCCTCATTGGCCAAAACGTAGTAATGGCAGGGACGAGCTGTACCCTTGATGGCAGCGTGAGAACAGAGGTAGAAGTCGTTCTCAAAAGGGTTCGTGACTGTCGTCTCGACCAATGTACCGGGGAATGGGTTGCCGTTGCGGTCGCCCTTCTCTGGGAAGAAACGAACATGATGACGCTTGGAGCCGACCACAACGACAAACTTGATTTTGGCAGATGGGTCAGCAGCCCTAAACATGTTCTTGATATCCCCAACCTCGTGATCCATCACGTGCGCGTATTGACCTTCAGACACACCGTCACGCAGGTATATCACTTCGTGAGGCATCTTGTTACCACCGACGGTCTGGATCCAGTGATGGACCAATAGCTTCAGATCATGCATAATTGTCTCAGTCTTGACCATCTCATTGCGGTAGCCGTTTGTTTGAACAACCGCAGCATATCGAGTAGCCAGCTTGTCCATCGACACAGTCAAGGCAGCGATGGAAGGAACATGGGCGCCCGGCGCGCCGTGAGAGATGTCCGCGCCGATAACCATTGTTGGCTTCGTAAAGATACCATTGGGAGTCTTGGGGCCGATAGCACGGCAGGTAATGCCGCCGAGCTTGCAGTTGAACTTCATGCAGACATTAGAGATGTACTGGGGTGACATCTTCTGAGCGTGAGCATACTGGACACACTGCGACACAACGCCGTAGCGGCACTCAGCAGAGCGCTTAATGCGGCCGTAGACTTTGGTGTCCTTGTCCGGAAGGACGAACATCAGCATTTGTGGGCGAGAGGTCGTCTGATTTCCGGCTCCATTCCAAGCAGCAGTAACCCATTCACCGACGTCGGTGCCAGAAGCAAGGACCATTGATGGCGCCTTGTTCTCAACCTTGCCTCCGTGAGCAATGTAACCGGCAATGAAGGCCTTGATGAATGCTTCGATCACGGTCTTGTCCGGCTTACCACCACGACGACCAGGGATACAGCAGATAGCCCAGGTCTTGAGAGGTGTCGTATTGGGCTGGAAGAACTTCTTGCCCTTGAGATCCCAACGACCGCTAGTACCTGGCTTAGCCTCACCAAGGCCGAACTTGACGATAGGTGCTGGCAATACACGACCCTCGGCGGTAGCCTTGGTCGCGTTTATCTTGACACCATACTCCTTGAGGACAGGATCTTCGGCCCAGTTGAGCAAGTCGATGCCCTCCTGAATGTGGCGATAGCGCTCTGGCGGAGCAGTGACTGCAAACTTGATCATGTTGGACGTCTGCCTCTCATCCATCTTGTAGTTGTACCGCTGGTTCTCCACAATCCTCAAAACCTCCATGGGCAGAATGGTGTTTTTGCCCTTAGTCATCTTGACCAAAGGCAGGGATGGCCACTGAAGCATGATATTATACTTCGTGGCAAAGTATGCATACAGGCTCATCTTCGTTGGCTTGCCAGCAGCATCTGCACAATCGATCATCTGATTCTTGGCGTTCGTATAGATGAACTTGTCGATGCAATACTTATCGACCGTGTCCTTGCCGCGGTGTTCAGCCGTGACACGAATCTTGGCCATTCTCTTTAGATTTTTGCCCACGATGCTGGACGGGCCACCTTCGCTAAGCCTAGAGGCTAGGTCTGAGATGTCGCGGCCACCACACACCAAATTGGCGGCGAGGGTGAACCTGGTGGCCTGCCAGAAAGTACCATTGGCAACGTCGGCGTTGATAGACAGATGGCCTGGATGAACAAGCCGAAGAGACTGGTAAACACCCTTGAAGGCTTCAACGCCACCACCAAGAACGAAGCGAGTGCCACCGTGTGGGAAGAAGGCACGCTTGATGGACGAGTACTTCTTGGACGGAGTTTGTCGCAGCAAATGGTCGGCAAAGTTGATAGCCTCGAGGCAAGAACTGTTGAAGGACGCCTTGCCTTGCAGATAATGAAGAAGCGCCGTGAATCCGACCTTGTTGGTCTGACGGATTCGAACTCGAAACTTGTTCTTCTCTTCTTGACCTTCGCGAGTTTCACGACCCTGCTCAGCGTCGAGGTCGACAGTCAGACGGACCTCACGATCAATTGGCTTGGACGACCAAGCGAGCTTGTTGCCGTCAAAGATGGCGGAGGCGCCCATCTCAGCCTGAACAGCCTTGGACTCCCAGACTTTCATGATAGCGCCACGGTTCTCGACGCCAGAACCAACGTCCACGTCGAACTGGTAAATGGTCAAGTTCGGGAAGGCGTCAACGTGGTAGGTATTGATGCCAACCTTGGCGGGCGTGCCAAGCTTGGAAAGTGCTGGCTTTTGTACTCCGCCGGACATATCAACGCCACGGGCTGTGGCCCAGCCAGAGATGCCGAGATCAAAGTTGCGAGTATCCATTATCGGGTCCTTGTTTTTGGGGTCGCCCACAGTCATCGCTCCTGCGTCATCGTTGCCATCGTAGCCGCGAGACGAGCGTACAACGCGCTTCTCAGAGCGGGCAGATGGCGCGTCCGATGAGCACGACGAAGCGCTCGAAATCTTGAGATTACCACGGCGAGGTGCCTGCGGCTTTTGGTCACCCTCATCGAGGCGGTACTTCCCAGGGCCAACCATGGTAGAGATGGGTGGGGTAGGATGGGTTGGTGAGCTGGTGAGTAACTGCGGTCTGTGTGGAGGTTCGGTGTCAAGTTCTGTGCGAAGAGCAGGTATGAGTGATAATTTCGTGGGCGCCGCCTCCAGATACTGCGTTGTCGTTGTCGCGAAGCCGCTGGGTGCCGGTGATGTGGAAGGCGCGCTGCTGAAGAGGGGGATCAAGGCTTACTTGGTAGTGAGAGTGTTCGTGAGTGTGAAAGGATGTGTTGAAGAGAGAGTGTTTGTACCCTGAAGTGGTGGGTCTGGAGTGGTGTGAAGGTGAGTTCGTAGGACCGCAAGGAAATGGTGCTCTTATAGACCGCGAAGGTGGAACAAGGGTTCAGACCGGTGAGCAGTCAACTGGAAGGAGCGACGTACTTGTGAGTGAAGCAGGTCTTTGTGAGGTGATTGAGGTGATTGTGTGATTGTGAGGCGACCAAGCAGGTTGTCTTTGATGATACTGAGAAGACTTAGAGCCCAAGGAGGGAACTGGAGTCTTCGATGGCGACCTGTGGAGGGTAAACAGCGGGAGTTGCCGTTGCCTGGCGACGACGTTGTTCGGCGATTGGGACGCGTGATAGAGCACATATGCAGCTCCGGATGTCCATGCAGTGAGCAGGTTGGTCAAAAATCTATGCTGCTGGGCAGCAATGCCTTGCGGTATGGTCCTATGTCCAGCTTCAAGGTATAGTCAATGGGCTGTGGACAAACCAATGCCCAAGGACAACTCATATGCCCGGATTCAATCTTCCTCCGTGATGCAGCCCTGCTGTGCGAGCGACAGTGCAGACATCATCGAGCTAACGACATCAATCTCCTCACAGCCCCCAACCTCGCCGTCGACGCCCATGCCTTGAGTCCAGCACGATCCAGCAGCACGACTACCAGCCGACAGGCATGCAGCAGAGCATGTCAGCATCCAAGCCCCGAATCACGAGATAGTTTTAGCAAATGACAAACATAGTCAGACAGATCGACAGAGCAGGATCCTTCCAGCTGCGACTATGACTACCAAAGACTCTTCCGGCATAGGAACAGCCCAAAAACATCTCGTAGGTGAAGCCATTTTCTTGAAAAGACTAGAGGTTCTTTTTGAGGAAGGTAGATAGGTAGTTTTAGAGGTTGCAGAAGATAAGGTAGTGCTTCCAGTACTGAACGAACAAAGTGCTGGCCAGCTCAAAAGCAGCATGATGCTGCAACGCGCTGAGGGCAACGCGCCTGTCTTTCGCAGCTTCAGACCGATCATGACATCGCATAGGCTTGTATCTTGCTGTAGATCCCAGCTTCTACGTCCCCAAGGGGTGATGTATCTGAGGAGAAGCATCTTGTGCGGCAGAGAAGCTCTATCACAGCAAGTACGCGTTCATAGCCCATACAGAATGTGACAGAACGTTTCTCGCTCAGCTCATCGGTGACCATGAAGTTACACTCCCAGATCAACCAGTACGCGTCGCGTCGCACATGATGTATTGGCGCTGTAGGTAGGCATTGAAACCAGGTAAGATTCCTAATCAGTCAGGTAATCGTGCTTGGTAGCCCCCGCCGTGGCACTGAGTATGCCGGCAATGCGATGGCGCTCGGCAGTAACACACCTTCGAAGACGATGGAAAAGCATCGAAAGAAGCAGAAGATTCTCAAGGGCAAGCATTGCCTCCTAGGTAGATTTCCTGACCAGAGAGTGCCGTCGGGGCCATTCAAGTCTTTGCTGTTTCCAGGCAACAATGAAGCTGAATCTCATAACCCAGTCTCATCCTGCTCCACGCATTCGATCGAATAGTATCCCGGAATCCAGAGTATCGTCCAAGTGTATCTGCTGTACCTTCAGGTACTACCCTTTCTTTCCCATCCTCATCCTCATCCCGTCAAGAGAGGGAGAGAGAGAATCGCGCGCGTGTGTACCTGGCCAGGGAGGGTTATATTACAGTCGAGTACCTGAGGTAGTAGTAAGTAAATATCGCGAGGCAGTCCAGTCTAGTCCAGTCCAGTCCAGTCCTCGAGTGCTTGTCCAATCCAATCCAGTCCAATTCTCGAGTGTTAGGAAGTTTGTCTTAACGCGTCAAGACGTAGAAAAATGTCAACAAACTCGCGAAGTTGCCTTGCCTTGCCTCGCCTCTGCCTTGCCCTGCCTTCTCGCGTCCCGTCCCATCACGTCCCGTCTACTCAAAGCTGTTCAATCAATGAGTGGTGGTGGTGGTGTGGTTGGTGTTGTTGGTGGTGATGGTGGTGGTGGTGGTAGTGGTAGTGTGCGAATAGGTATTACCGGTAATGTACATGTATAAGATATATCGGAGGTGTTGTTGTCAAGTGTCAAGGTAAGACAGGAGTCTCCAGTTAGGCTCCAAGCCAAGACTTTCCATTTCTCGAGCGCCGCCCTTGGCGACACCCGCGCTCCCGCTGCGCCCGCGCCCGCGCCGCTCCCACCCACCCACCTCCCACCTACCTGTACCTGTACAGTACGTGACCTGTACCTGACCTGTAGTGATATATGTATGGTCCATCTAGTGATGATTCTTCTTTTTTTTCCATTACAAGATACATGATCCGAGAAGGAATGAATGCAGAAAAATTACATGTAGGTCAAGATAATGTCCAGAATTTTTGTGACGAGATTGAAGAGAAGAGTATATGCAAATACATGCCTACCTCCTTACGGTACCTGTCCTTACCTGGTATCCAAAGAAAGAGAGAATTCGTGAGACTCAATCCCGTCATCGTCATCATCATCATCATCTCTCATAAGGTACATGTATGTACATGTAGTCTCGAACCAGCCCGGCCTGCTGTACCGCCTGATGGTCGTCTCTGCCCCAAGACTCGCATGATAATTCCAATTCTCATTCATCCAAGTAGAATCATCACTCCCATTCCCCCTTTCCATTCACATGGATGTCGTCAACTTCGCCACATTCATGCAGCGAATCTCACGGTTCTCCTGCCATTTCCATCTTGACCCGCGACATCATCACTCGCGCCATCCAGAGTCCCACCACTCGCTCCTCGACTGCGACTGGACTTACGTCTGCGATCGAGCCTTCGCTGTCGAGCTTCTCGAGCTTCTCGAGCCCTCCAACTTTCCACTTGCTGTCGCCGTCTCTGACTCCGAGCATGCGCCATTGCAGCTGTGGGACGAAAGCCGATTCCATTGATGCCTTCGCCATCGTCATCCGGCGAGTTGAGGAGATGGCCCGTGATCTCTTCGTCGCGCCAAGTCAAGGAAGAGAGATCGAATATGGTGTCCCCGTCAACCGTAGGCCGTGTAGACGACGGCATGAACGGATCCACAGCATCGGCAGACCGGGATGATTTCTCTCCCACCGGCGGTGAAGGAGGAGGCGGAGACATCATCCTTTTCGGATTCCTCGTACTCGACTGATGATGTTCTGGCTCAGCCATGACTACATCAACCGCTTGACTCCAACTATCTGCTCCATCTCCACGAGTGTGCGGTGTTGAAGGCAATCTTGCATACACGTCCGGAGTCTCCTGCACTTCCAGTAGAAGCGTAGAATTATCGCTCACACTATCCGGAATCTCCAGTGATTGAGGCGGAGGAGTCTTGAGCAATTCTCGAGACTGCACATCACCGCGCAAATCTCGAATGTGAGGGTTTCGCTTTAACTTTTTGCGCGGAGATTGAGAGCTGCTTGGCACTTCGTAAGCTGCTTCTGATGATGATGATGGCGGTTGTGGTGGTGATTGAGGCTGCCGAATTGCTAGATGTTGGAGACGGTTCGCGACGCCTGACCTGGGGCTGTCAGGATGCGCGAGAGGGCTGTCACCAGACATGCGTGCTGTGTCTATGCGGTGTGGTGGTGCGAGATCAGGTACAACACGTATGGGTGAGTCAGCTAGCAGCTTCCGCTTCGGCGACGGATTGCGGGTGTTGCCATTTGGAGGTGGACAGGGCGACTGCTTCGGGCGAGGTGGTTGATCAGGGAGGTAGGTATAGAGAGTGTCGGTACGGTCACAGGATCATCTTGTGAGCAGTGGCGTACAAGTCGATGCATTGGAAGGTGAGGTTCTGGTCGAAGTGAGGTTGTGAAGTCTCAGTTGAGAGGGGTCATGGGACGCCGTGAGCACGACTGACTACCTGACCTAACCTACACCGTACCTCCACCGCATACATACTTTGTACGGCCCGTCAGCCTCATCGGTGTCGGGTGGCGAGCGACGACTAATGCATGCGATTCTCTTGGAGACGCTATAACTGGTATTCATGGTATCCATTGTACTTGATCAGAAGCCCACCTACAAGGCTAAGGTACAGTGATGTCTGATTCACGCTCCCTTCATTACATGTATCCTTCCGTGTACACGTTACACCTGGTATCTCTCCCCATCGTTGCATCGTGTTTTCCCACCGCGGACGCCACGCTAATGTACAAAACACATCAATGTGTCCCCCACGGGACACCATCACCACCGAGAAGCTCTCCGACCTACTCGTACAAGAATATGCTTCCGAGCGACCTCCGCCTGTCGAGGCCTGCTCGCTCCAGAATGGGCTGACTTCCAATCAGAGCGTCCGACCATCTCCAGCGCTTCTAACCTGAAGTGTGCAACCCTCTTGGAATTATCGTACCCATCATATCATCAATTCGGGGAAGCTCATTCACATCATCGTCCCCGTTCACAGGAGATTGCCGACCTTCTGCTTTCTTCGCGTAGAAGGCTTCTTTTGCTTTTTGCGCCGCGGACAAACTGTCCATGTATGTGCGGAATTTGACAATCTCGCGCAGCAGATAATCCGACTTGCGCTGCCAGTTGGCCATAGTCTTATTAAAATTGGGGTGCCGAGACGAATACTGCAAGGTGTCAGTCATACGGATTGAATGGGATTGCCACATCTGACTTACTGCAAGTTCGATAGCGTGCTTGAGCTCGTTGTGCTTCTCCAGTTCTTCTTCGGAGCTCTCCACATAAGCGGTGAGCTGCTTGAGTTGATCTACCTCCATGAGCTGGCTTGCCATCATCGATTGAGTAGGCGGCTGCCACTCCTGAATCACCGCCTTGTCTGCGGGCATCCTGGTCTTGTTGCCGCTAAAGCCTTGGTCGAAGCTGGAACGAAGAGAAGACTGCACGCTGGGCCGGTGCGCGCGGTCTGCGGATATGCTATGCGTGTGGCCTCTCGTTGTCATGGACGAGGATGGTGCATTGACTGGTTCCGGACGTCCAATCAGAGCCGGGTTGACAATCTGTTCGGACCAACCATACTCAATGTTGGAAACACCACCAGCCAGTGGCTCTTTACTGAGACGTGCGGACCAGTAATTTGCAGTCGTCATGAACTCCGTGGCGATTTCTGGCGTGCCGACCTGGAAAAGGTGGACTGCTCCGTTAGGCAGACTCAGTGCCCATACGTGTGGCCGTGCCTTGCTATAGCCAGGTGGTGGCAGCGTGGATGCAATGGTCTGGCGCAGAACGAACACATCCAGCTGCTCTGCATTCTCCATCCAATCTCCGCCACCAACCCTTGCGCCCGTCACACTGGCCGCTTTACCCGATCGACCAAAGGTTGTTTTCTTGCTCACGGATTGTGACTTGGGCGACGTGCCAAATGCAAATAAAGTCAGCTTGCCTTTGCTGATCACCGCAAAGCAGTCGTTCCAATTTCGCTCCTTCGACTTGCGATCCGGCGCGTCCAGATGATGCTTGTGCTTGAGAAGGCCTTCCTTTGCCCACGGAGCCCCTGCGAGGGCAAGGCTTTCGTCTTCGAGCAGGCCTCCCGCCTGTGAGAATGATTCTGCATCACCCCCACTGGTCTCCTCGCGGATGATAGCCGAGGACAAAGCATTCGCAAAGCCAATAGAGTGCTTGAAATCAGTCATGGCGGACAGATTCGAGAAGCTGCCCACCGACGCAGACGTCAAAGTCTTGTTGAACGAGTACTTGCTGCTTTGCGCGGGAGACCAGAAACCGCTTCCGTCGTCGAAACTCGTGCGAGACGAACCTAACGTGCTGGGTGGATACAGTTTATGTCTCGTGCGACTGTTCCGGCCGGGCCATCTCATGTTCGATCGGAAGTCTTTCGAGTTGGATCTGTAGGACATAGAAGACATGGTATCCGACGGCGCCTTGCTTACGACGGAGCCTGAGCGCCTGAGCGTGCTGCTGAGGTCGACAACGGAAAGGTTCCGATTTCCCATGACATCGTGGGTGGACACGCCATGCAATGGAAGTGGTTCTTTCTGAATCGATGTGTAGAATGTCTTGAGAACCATCTCGACTTCATTTTCCCAACCACGCATGTTCCCGGTCCACGATTGATTGACCAGCGAGTTCGACACTCCATTAGCCGCAGTCTCCGGACTTAAACTGTCAGAGTCGTTGCGAAAGGCAGAAGGCCGGACTGACAGACGCTTCGTAACGACGTTTGTCACGGGGGCCGGGCCTGCATCCGGCACTGGACTTGATTCGGCACGCTCTGCCGGCGAGGCTGGAGACAGTGGCGACGTAGAGGAGAATTCGGACAAACTGGTATTGACCCATGGCATCGTCGGTCGCAGCGAGGTAGGCGTCGGCTTCAATGTACCAGTGAACGCATCCGGCGCGGCGTCCTGAACGACACGCCTAATAGTCGGCAGAGTGTTCTTGACATACGCACTTCGAGACATTCTCTCTTCAATGTCTGCCAGGTGAAGATCTGTGTTGAGAAGGATGACGGAATAGAAGATGGTGTGAATGACATCCTGGGCTTTGAAGCCATGATTAGAGTTGCACTCACACCATCGAGCAGACAGTGCAGTGATGATGCGGTCAAATTGTTGCGTCTCACCTCGGAGGACCAGCTTGGAACACAACAGCCGAAGTGCTGCAAGTGGATTGAGCCCGGAGAAGTCAAAGAGCTGCATATATGCCGACAGAGTCTTGGTACTGAGTGTGTTACGCTCGCCAAGCCATGATGCAGCATCATTCTTCGAAACGTCTTCTTCGTCGCCCTCGTAGATTTTGCGTGCGCGTTCTCTGTACTCCGCACCAGCATCCATGAGTGGTGATGGCGCCCGCGTAACGGTGTGATCATCAGATTTGTGTGATATTGTATCACTATGCAGTGCCAAAGTCGGCAACAACAGGCTTGACGAGAACGCCGGGCCCTCAAGCTCGGTAGGCGGTAGCTGAGGGGCAGTAGTAGCGGATCCGGGAACGGAACCATCGGAAGTGAACACGGGAGAGACAATTGAGTCATCAATCGTGGACAGATCGCTATCGCGACCAAGTTGTTCCTCGGAAGACGTCGGCCGTAACACTAGGCGATCTGATTGTCTGGATGGCCTTCTTTCTGGGTTTGCATGAGGCCTGATATACCAGTCCTCCTCCATACTCAGATTTACATTGGTGCCTGCGCTGAAATCTCTCAAGTCAGAACCGCGCTGCACAGAGGCGTTCTCTCTGGGTCCGATGATGCGATCGCCAGTGCTGGGCCTCCTGTCTGACATGTAATCATCGTAATCTGGGGAGATATCAGGGTGCATGGTATCAGTGATTGGAGATACTATAGCTGCCTCATTATTGTGGTCGTATAGTGTCGCCCGTGGCGTGTCCCGGCTAGGATCACGGTCTTGATGACGACCCTGGCTGCTGGTTGTAACCAGGGCCTCAGGCTTGCGCTTCTTTATTTTCAGCTTGGAGCTTGGGCTTCCTTGTTCAATAGAAATGGGGTTGCGTGTATCGCCAAGAGGACCATCAAGCGGAGAGGTGTATCCCGAATGGAAGATATCAGGATCTTCGGAATCTTCAGTCTTGGTATCGCTAGTGGCAGGCCGGGACACTGATGTGTCGTCCTTTAGTTTGGACGTGCCCATCGTTTCACGAGGCTCTTGAGCCAAGTAAGGATCCATGACTTGGCGTAGACTACTCATCGACGAGGTGGGCTGAGCGGCGTGGTTCATGGTAGATTCGGCGGGCTTGGGGAGTGGTGGAGGCGCGAATGGGAACGGTTCGGACGCGGACTTTTTGCGCCGGCGGAAGAACGATGAAGGCTTCTTGTTCAGCGTTTGCGTGGCTGCAGGCATGTTGGCAGAGGATGTTTGATGCACGTCTGCATTGGGCTGTGGGGTGGAGGGCGATGTTTGCGATAAAGAATGCACGGGTGGATCTGGCCTGGTGTTTTGAGCGACTTGCTTCGAGACTGGTCGTTCCACGGGCGTTGAGACCACGCGTGAACTGCCACCACCAAAAACACGCTTGAAAAAGCCGGGCCGCTCGCGCGGAGGTGAAGGGTCCTTTCTCCTGGTGCTGATACCGGGACTGGGAGCTACACTGTTCGGCGCGGATGGCGGAGACGAAGCCGTGACGCCGCTGCGCATCGTCTCGGTTCTGATGAAGTCGGCCGCTTGGGTGCGGACTTCTGGTGGTATCGGGCTGGGCGGTGGAGCAGCTTTGAGGCGCAAGTTGTCTTGTGTCGTCGTCTTGCGCAGTTGGCTCGGTTTGGGAGCCTTGGGATTGGCAGCATTGACGTACACCGGACCTGTCGCACCCGGGTTCTGCTGTTTGCGCGGCCCTGCTGCAATGACAGGCTCGGGTGCTGCATCGGCGTCGGAGTTTTCTCTCGACTCGTATCTGCTGTGTACAGAAGGCACAGGTCGTCCACGTGTGAGCACGGAAGGCTCGTCCGAGTCTGACTGTAAATGTTCCATTGACCGATCGCCAGCCCATGTATCCAACATTGCACCATTGCCGTAGCTATTACTGCCCCCGCCATTGCCCCTGGCGCCGAACACGCTGCTTTTGTCATTGATCGTCCTTTGCGTGTCTGCGCTGCGGCGCGCGTTGCCGTTGCCATTGGGATGGAGGCGCGAAGCGAGATGGGGTCTCCCGCCAGAGATGGAGTTGCTGTTACTGCGCCGACCCTTGCCCGATTGGAGTGATCGATTGCCCGGCGACTCCAGCTGACGAGCATATTCCGAGTCCGAGGATGAGTGTGTGTGGCCTCTGTTGCGCTGGCTGCCGATGTTCGCCGGAAAGGTGCTGCTCAGAGCGAGGAGGTAGTTTTGGCGCTCGAGGTCATCGTGTTCGTTCATGGCGCCAAAATCCGCCTGCGGGAAGGTGAGGGTGTCGAAAGTGTCAAAGGACGACAGGAGGTTGTCCACGACGGAATCCCGGGTCGTACTGTACCAGCTCAGGCCGTGCGAATGGCGGTGCAGCTCGTCGTGGTCGTAGTCGCGGTCGCGGTCGTCGTTGCGAGCGGCGGCGGCAGCGGTGATTGTCTGGGGCGAGTCCGGGCTGTATCGCGGACGCAATGGCTGTTTGCCCTTTTCCCTATGGACACTGCGCGATCGAGGCGACGGCGTGCGAGGCGTGCGTGAAGAAGTGGCACTGCGGCCTCCCCTCGCCGCATAGCCAGCAGCAGTAGAAGAAGTACGTCGGAAGCCTCTGGAGCTGGTCCTCACGCTGGGAGGGTTCGGCGGGCTAGCAGGCGGCGAGGCAGACGCATGGGTAGCAATCAGAATGGAAGCGGCTGCAGAGGAGGAAGCGTACTGCTGCTGCTTGTGCTGGTGGTGGGAGTCCATCATCATCATCATGGCCGTGAGCGCTACGTGCGTACATGCGGGTGCCGGCGCATGAGAGGAGTACCTGTGGTTCGCCAATAATAACCCTATTTCACGAGGCGGATTCCAACACCAGCGGTCGAAGCGGTCCTCCCGGTCGGCGCACGAGAAACTCCCTGCGTACTTGCTGCCACTCAGATGCACGAAGCGGTGGTAAAGCGCTCGTGGTGCTGATGAGACAAGCCAATTGCTGTGGACTGTAGATTCTGCTCTCCACTGCGACCTGTCGCTTTGCAGCCGCGATCAGGGGTTCTGCAGCGCCAGGATTGAGCCACTAGTTCGAGTTGGCTCGGGGGAGAGTAGTGCGAAAGCTCGCGCCGCATCGGAGATCGGGATGCCGGTATTGAGCTATATCTCCAGACGTAGTACCTATGGATTGGCAGAAGTAGAGTGGAGAGAGAGTGTGTGCGCGTATGTGTGACCGTCGACAGTGATATGGGCGTGGAGGAGCGATGACAGTGACATTGCACACGACATGTACGATTTTTACCTACCTCCTAATGTATGGATCATCACACTATCCCCCACGACGTCAAACACGTCCCAGTGCCCACATGTATCTAAAAGGATACTTGTTAGGGCTGCTACGTGTGTATCGGCCACGAAGCAAACCAGGTACGGGCATGGGTGGTACCTTAACTTCCAAATTATAGGTTGCCCCTATGACCCAAGCATGTCTACGACTGTAGCGAAGTGCACCTCCTACTGTCCTCTGCATTAAAAGACCGCACGTATTGCATTCGTTTCGCAGTAGTCGGCGACCGTCAGACGTGGCGCCCGAACAACAGTATACATGTAGTAGGAGGTAGTAGAAGGTAAATAAGCAGTTCTTCTGTGCTGGTTGTGCCGTGCCACGACTCTGAAACATCTGCTCGTAGGTCGGCCACCTGCATTAGCGTTGCATCCTGACTTCTGACACGCACAGTCCAGTGCAACCAAACTTGTTCCTGCAGCTTGCATGAGAGGAAATGAGCTAGTCTACCACGGGGATTAGGTCCGCCTCGACCCATTTCCCATGAGCAGAACTGTGAAAGGTCAACTTTTCCTCTTCCTTTCCTCCGTCCTTCTGTCTTTTGGTCTGTTTTCTCCATCATCCATCATCCGTCCTCTGTTCTCTGTTCTCCGTGTACCCACCGAATCGAACAGCACGCAAACATGAGTTCTGTAGGCAGTCATACAAAGTATGTACAGAGGAGCTGCGATTCAGAGCCTACAGCTCGACCTGTACGATGTATATACCTGACTTTTCTGTGATCTGTGGCGCACAGCGCACGGCGCACCTGACGAATACATTGTATACAAGTAGCGGCCACAACCCTTTTTCGACCGACGTCAGACGTGGCGCATTATGCCGCATGGACTGCGCAACGAGAGAGGGCGCGAAAGCCACAGACTCGTGTTCGGGTTGTTTGCTGACTCGCCTGGAGAGTGACATGTCCACATGTCCATATCCAATTCTTCCAGTCTGCATTTCACCACATCCGTCAGAATGCTTGGCACCAGCTCATCTGGACGTGACTTGACACCGAAGCTGAGGCGACCTGGAGGACAAGCAGGCGCTGGAATAATGCCAATTTGCCAAGAATCGGGTCGGAGTAAAGGTATAGGCGACCAGGTTGGCATCGGATCTGTTCTGTCTTCGACGACGATCAGTAGTCAGTCAAGCGCCATGCCACGACATGACATGTTAACCACCTTTCTCTAGGGTCGGTGCATAAGGAATCCCCTTTTCAGGTTCAATTGGCCGATAATGGACGACTGCCCTGCTCAACATGCATAATACATGTACCTGTACATGTATTTGATAGCAGGTCCTGCTACATTGAATACGGTATGCGAAAAGATAGGTAGGAGGTAGGAGGTACTTGAAGGTAAGGTACATCACCTAGTGTGGCAAAGACCGGCTCAGCCCGCACTCCACGATCGGAGTTCGGGACCTTCCTTATTGCTTTCATCCGAGGCTACACACACTCCCCCACACAGACAAGCACGAGAGCCTACCTTGGGGTATTATTGTCTACGAGGCATATTATTGTCACCTCACTTTCATTCCCAGTGTCCTTACTATCCGCAAACGGCGTGCATCACGATGTTTTTGTACTGCTCTCCGCTCATACAACCAATAGCGAAGACTCGACGGTTACCCTACGAAAAAGGCAAGACTGGGGACTACCTAAATTATCCATAGGATGCGCGCTATATCGGAAGCAGGAGAAGATAAGGGCGGAAGCGATGGTAGAGTACGTTTGCGCTGCATCAGCTAGTCTATCTTGCTTACTGCTGGCTTGGTACACATATCGATCCACTTCGTACTGCAGCACAACCGACGACGAGGTGCTCTAATATGTATCCTATCTTATCGTGTTAGGTTGGGGAAATGCAGATGAGCAGCAATTTGTTAGGCAAATTAATATCAAGGCTAAGGTAGAGCCTAGAACAATGTCGGGTATGTCTATACTCTACCTCCTACCCTATTTCTCGCTGCCGAGGCCTGCCTCTTTTGTCGCTACGATGCTCTATTGACTCTAGCGCATAGCTATTTATTACGGGTAGGAGCAAGACGTACATATCGTATATCTAGTCTAACAACGCCGTATGTCTAGTAATCTGACACCAAAGCTAGACTCGGATAGTATAACAGCCGCGACATGGAGCCTGGCACGTAAGGTACCTTAAGGTATCTAATATGCGCCGAGCCTGAGAGCAGGTCACAATCACATATATGTCTTGGCGCAACCTATGGTCATTTACTTGCTAACTTGGAGCCCCGAGACATAAGGCAAGGTGATATGTGACCTGCCCTTAGGAGGTAGATAGACTCGGCACATCTCTGCTGCCAGTGTGCTTTCCCCCGCTACGAAGACGAGTCTTGCTTCAGCATCAACTCTGAACTCACTTCGCCTCCATTGCACCGATCTGCAATGGTCCGGCTTGCTATCGCGGCACTCTAGTATGTGCCGTCACGTGAGCTTGGCGTTACGTGGTAGCGATTGGATTGACACTCTAGCCTCTTCCAGCCGTTCAATTGAGGGGAATCCGATCGCTTGTTGAAAGTTCCAAGCCACTCTACACACTTTTACCGATGATACCGAGCCTACACGGGGAGGCTTCCTACTTCCGAGGACGCAATTGGTCCTTCCGGTCACTGCGTCGGAAGTATGTTACATGCGCGTCCAGGCTCAATGCGCTGCTACCACCAGACCAGCCCGTCCATGCGTGAAAGAGGGGGTATTGCGCTTCTAGCCCATCGGACTGGAGTTCTGAAGAAGCGGAATTAGCTGACAAAGTTCACACTCACAGGATCAGAAGGCCAACGGTGTGTCCATCTATAATAGATATCGCCGCGGCTCCTCTAAAAGCCGCGTGCTAGCGCGAGTGAGTATAAAATTTGTCCCCGTGGCTTCCCCATCTTCCCCAGGTTTGCTTTGAACCTTTTCTTCTGCTGCGCTTCTTATAACTGCGTTGTACGACTCGACAAAGATCATACCATACCTCCATAGTAATCGTCCCCATCCCCAGCGCGTTGCAAAGAACGATGGACAGCAAGGATATGGAGAACGGGCGCGTCGGCCAGGTCACCCCGCCGAACGATATGGGCGATCTTCGTCAAATGTGAGTGTTTCTTTTCCTTCCCAACCTGCCACCAGGTGGATCGATCGCGGGCGGAAAGGGTTAATGGCTGATAATCTCGATTCGCTGCAACCAGGTTGACAAGCAAAAGCATCACCGACGAGCAATTCGAACGTCTCTTCCTCTCGCCTCGCAACGTCAGAGCCGCTCCTCTCAAAGGCTTTGCCAATCCCACCCCCTTGGCCGTCATGGGCTTCGCCACCGCTCTGACACCCCTCAGTGCACAACTCATGGGCTGGAGAGGCTCGGGGGGAGCTGCACAAGCAAGTGTGGGAGCTTCTCTCACCTTCGGAGGCGGTCTGCTCATTCTGGCTGGAATAGGCGAATTCTTGCTCGGAAATACGTTTCCTTTCCTCGTCTTCATGGGCTACGGATGTCACTTTTTGACTTTCGCCATCACATTCATCCCATTCTTCAATGCCGTCTCGGCGTATACATCGGGGAGTCCGTATCTGGGAGAGATGAATCAGGAACAAACGGCGGGATTCGCGAACAGTTTTGGTACGTTCACCCACATCTCCCTTCCCTCTCCTATCCCTCTCCTATCCCTATCCGACCAAAGCCTGCAAACCATTTTCTAAATCTCTCTCTTTGTCAGGCTTCTACCCCATGTCCCTCGCCATGCTCTCCCTCGTGTTCCTCCTCTGCTCCCTTCGCACCAACCTCATCTTCTTCCTCATCTTCGTGGCCGCCACCATTGGCTTCAGCTTCGCATCCGCAAGTTTCTGGTTCGCGGGAATCGGACAGATGGCCAATTCTGCGAAATTCCTCGTCGCTACAGGCGCGTGCTTTTGGACGTGTGCCATGTTGGGGTGGTATTTGTTGTTGGCAATTATGATCCCGACCATGGAGTTGCCGATTCCGACGCCTCCCGTCGTGGATTTGAGTCAGATCATCAAGGCGAAGCCGCCGAAGGCGCAGGTATAGAAGAGATAGACAAGGGGCAGTTATTGTTCTCTCCGAGGGCTTGGCAAGAACAGGCGATCATAGTTAACATGAAATGAAGCTTGTTATTACTATCGTCCTGACGACGCCTCAATAGAATAATTTGATGCCACTGTGTCAACAGTTTTCTGATAGTAGCAGATCCATCTTAGATCTTGGACAGTGCTCACCGCAACATTTTACCTGTTCGCCATGCTCGTCAATGGTCTCGGATGAACAAATGACAACTTCCGCGTCGATCGGAGTTCTTCCTGCCCATTGAGGAGACGGGACTCAGGAGGCAAAAGGCGGGAATTAATCTTGCCAGGTGATCGGCCAAGCAGGCAGGTCTCGTTATTCCCGGTCGTCACGCTTTAGCGTGTCTGGGAGTCCGATCCCTTTGCGGATACTGCCGTGTTGTTGTTTCTTGGCTTGAACCCGCCATCAAGACTTTACCGCCCCCAAAGATCCGGCAGTAAGGTGCGATAGCAACATGATTTGAGTGTTGAACGGACGATGTGCATTACACAGGTGAAGTCGTGATGTCGTCGTAGCGGTGGGGATGTAGAAGTGGAGTCGGCGGATGGCTCGGCGCGTTTTGCTGGGGCAACGTCACAAACAAACAAACTTCCCGATTCGGATTTCTTCTCAGCTTCAGTATCTTACCTGTATACAACATCTCAGCGCCCGTGTGTGTACGACAGCATAGTGAGCCATGGCGCGACTAAGACGGGAAGCAGCACCGATCAGCGAGTCGGCTGCAGTCACTGTCCAAAGCAGAGGTCCAAGTGAACAGACAGCCCTCGATACAGACTCACCAGGAGCTCGGCCAGCGCGACGGAGAGCAGCAGTCAAGTACACGATACCAGACGATTCGGACGAAGAAGAACCAGTTGCCCGAGTCAAAGCAAGGTCACGGCAAGATGTACAGCCGGCGACGAGAACCAAAAAGACTCAAATCCGACTCACTCCTCTGCAATCGCTGGGAAGTCTGAGCGACTTGACCATCCAGGACGATAATCCAGAAAAGACTAGAAGAAGATCTCCTCTCAAGCAGAGCTCGCGACAGTTACTCCGGAAACAGGAATCGAAGTCCGGCCTGTCTTTGTCGCCTGAGAGATCTCAGGCATCACAGCCTGATGGAGGCCTGCTTGTTCAAAACGACGTACCAGATCAGGAGGATGCCCCTGAGGGCGAGGTTGATATCGAAGAGAGCATTTGGTGTGGTTCAGATACGGAGGGTTCATCTTCCGAAGATGAGCTGCCCAGCCCCAGCACATTCTTTCCTACGAGACGGAAGCAAATAGAGCACGAACAGCCTGATTTGGCGACACAACTGGAAGCGCTGAGTATATTCGATCGAGATTCGCCTCCGTTACCCGCGCCGCGACATACGACGATCAAAAAGCCAAGGGCGGTAATTCCAATTGCCAGTTCGTCAGACAAGGAAAATCAAGACGCCATCACTCGTCCCTCTCCGCCTCGGCGTAAGAAGCCAGTCATGCGAGAAGTGCTGGAGCGTCCTTCCACCCCACCACCATCACCGCCACGCTCGCCATCAAAGCTCAAATCCCCTTCCAAACGAGCACCGCGTGTTCCGACTCCACCTGGACGCCCTAGTCTCGAAGCCTTCTGGACGGCAGACACAGTGAACGACTGGAACGATCAATACTCTCCTCAGAAACCCCTGCGCTCACCCACCAAGCTTTTCAACAACAACATCTCTCCCATCAAGAACACTTTTGACGACACACCCATCCCATCTCCCGCCAAACTGCGCAGCAGTCCCACCAAGCGCTCCAAAGCAGCAGCAGCAGCCGAACTCCAGGCACGTAAAGACTGGGACACGCGCAAAGTTCTCCTCGCAGAATCCTTCCTCCTCGAACTCGACCAATCGCTCACTCAGGGCCAAATCGCCCGTCTCGCCGCTTCCACCGGCGGCGTCAAAATCATCTGGTCCAAGACTTTGAACAGTACAGCAGGAAGAGCAAATTGGAGAAGAGAAACGACCAAATCCCACTCGCGATCCGATCCCTCTAAACCTCCTCTTATCGAACATAAGCATTTCGCTTCCATTGAACTCGCGGAAAAAGTTCTCACGTACACTCCACCTCCTCCTCCCACTGATGATAACGACAACGACGACGACGATGGGAACTATCAACAACAACAACAAGACCCCAACGAAACCAAACTCCTCAACATCCTCGCCCACGAATTCTGCCACTTGGCCAATTTTATGATTTCCCAAATTTCCACGCATCCGCACGGCGCAAGTTTTCGTGCTTGGGGTAATAAATGCTCTGCACTCTTTGGAGCCACGAGGGGAATTCAAGTTACGACGAAACATTCGTATGAGATTGATTACAAGTTTGTGTGGAGGTGTGTTTCGAATCTTTGTGATGACGGGAGAGAAGGGCAAGGGGAGGAAGGGGGTTGTGGAACGGAATATAAACGACATAGTCGATCGGTGGATCCGAAGAGGCATCGGTGTGGGAGGTGTAAAGGGGTGTTGGTGCAAGTGAAACCTGTGCCGAGGGGTGGTGGTGGTGGAAGTAATTCTTCTTCGGCAGTGACAGTGACGGCTGCGAAGTCGGGTGGAGGTGGAAGTGGGTTTGCAGGATTTGTCAAGATACATTTTGCAGAGATGAAGAAGAGTTTTCCTCCGGGAGCGAGTCATAAGGAGGTGATGGAGGCTTTGGGGAAAAAGTATCGAGCTGAGAAGGCGGAGAAAAAGGCTGGAGGTGGTGATTATGAAGAGATGGAGAAGAAGTTGAAAAATGTCAAAGTGACTACTACTACTGTCATTGACGAAGAAGAAGAAGAAGAAGAAGAAGGAGAGGAGGAAAAAGAAGTCATACAGCTTGACTGATTATGACAAGAATAGTCAACAACATTCTTCTTGTAGAGTGACCAGTCAATCTAGTTAGTCTACAAAAAAACTTCCTCCTCCTCCTCCTCCTCTTCTCAACAATCACACACACACACACACACACACACACACACACACACAATAAAAGAAACGACCTACCAAGACTTAA